TTTCAAAAAAAGAGCTCTCTAGTAACAGAATATCCATTTACATGAGACAGTCTTCTGGAAGCAATAAAGGTGCCTATCTGCACAGTGCCCAGGATAGGTTTTCATTCAGAACAGGCCTATTTTCTATTTAAGGCATTTCACTCAACTAGAGATTCTAAAAGATCAAATATCACACTACAGGTTCTCCTTCACGCTTTGCAAAGGAGGTCTTACATGCAAGATGCTTAAAAGCACAGCTTTACTCATGTCATCTGCCAGAATAAAGCACAGTGGGCTCTTTGACCTTGGAAAGAAAAGCGTTCTGGCAGGTCACGAGAAGCCTGGGTAGCATCTAAAAGGCATAAAAATATTTATGTCTGTGTGCATATTTCCCCCCAAAATCTTAATACCTCAAAATCTACACTACATTTCCCAAGAGGTGTGGAAGCATTTGAAAACCATTGTGTCTGACTTACAATTTTTGTCAATGAAATTTTATGCAGATAACAGCTCAAATATTATGTACTTTGTTGAATTTGTTGCTGCCAATAAATGGACACAGGGAAACAGGTACACCAGTTTTCTCCACTTAGGTACAAAGCTCCTCTCAAATTCTCTCAATTCTCTCCAGAGAATTATCAGACAGTGCTGGCATTGCTCAGCAACCACCTCATCCTGGTGGGTGCACTTTGGGGAGAGCAGGAGGCACTAATGTGGTGCCAGACGTGCCCTCTGTGCAGGATGTTCTAGTTACCGTTTACTTTCCTCTTGGCCATATTACCCTCACAGTTCTGGTCACACAGAAAGTCAGGTGCTAGAAAAGGAAACTTTATGAACTGTATCAGGATCCAAGAGTTAAAGCAATGTCCAGTTGAAATACAAGCAATCTGTCACCACTGTTCTTCCATGCTATTGCCTCAACTACAGGGTTGTGCAAAGCTGGATACCATCACAAGGTGTTAGAAAATTTTTGGATGAATGAATGAGCAACACATTTTCCAAGCCATAAATAGTCTACTATTACCAAATCTGGGATCAATAATACTCCCTACTCCTAATCCTAAATGCTTAGATTTCAGCACAGCTGCTTTCCTTGTGGGTGGTGATACCTTCCATTCACTGAAAATTAAGGATTGATTTTAAAGCTTGACACTGTATGACTTGCTAGATTAGAACTGGACAATAATATTAAAAATCAGGAAGTTCAAGTGATTAATGACATGAAACACCCTTCTCAGAAACGTCCTAGAAACACTGTCTAGTTTCAGAATCTCAAATCCCAATACAGCATTTATGTACCGAAAAGTGATTTAGTCAAGTGGGCCCCAAACACATAAAACTGATATCTCGCACACACTTACAAATATTTAACCTTTCCAGAACTCTCTACATCTTCAAGTTCTACCAATCTCTTCATTTCTTCTCATTCCATACTGAAATCATAACCATTTCAAAAAAAACATAATAAAATTCTATTAAAACACCAGAAAACAAATGCTTAAAGGTGATTATTTGTTTTCTATTGCAGGCACATCTTCAACAGCCTGATGGCAAGACCATTCAAGGAAGCCATCCAACCTCTAGGATAGAAGTCATTGCTGCCTGTAAATATAAGTGCTCAGATTCTCTCTCCCCTGTAAGAACAGATATTCTCAGACTAAAGGAAGACTAGAACCAGACTTTACAGTTTTGAGACAAATATTATATGTGGGAACACATGATGCAAAGCATGAGTAACATCCCTTTCACCACCGCTACTATCTCCCCTCTCCCTTGGAAGGCATTCAGTGTTGACTCAGACTGTGCTCCAACCACAGGCACCAAACAAGCTCCTCTCAGAGCCTGGAGTTTGGCACCTCTTCCCCAATATCTGCACAGCAATGGCCTTTAAAGCAGATGTAGGCCTGTGTCATTCCCTGGTAGCTATGAGCCTAGATTTTACATCTGCCTTGCCTTAGGGGGCACAGACTTCAGGAACTAGGTTGATTTGTAGCAGTACAGAAGAGTCAAGTTTTGAATGAATATATCTCCCCTGTTTGGTTCTTCTCTGGATCTAACACCCTCATGGCTCAATTCCAACAGGAAGGTGTGTATGCACACTGCAAAACAACACCCAGAGGCTGATCACTGGGACAGTTCTCCCTACTACATATCACGGATCTCCACTGTCCAGCCCAGGAATACAGACACCTAGTGCTCACCTAGTGAATCCCACTGCAAACAATTTAGCCTCAGGCTCTCCAAGTTTCCCTGAATGTTATTTGGTACTCCCAAAAGAGGTCAAAACCAAATCCTACCATTATATGGAGTCTTTTCTCTTTTGTGCAGACTATAGACAAACAGGACAGGAGAATGCTCCTAATTTCCAACCCACTTGAAATTAGGTAATACAGTATGTTTTTAGGCAGAGGAGACCCTCAGCATCTGCAATTTTATCTTAGAGCTCATTAATTCCTTTACATTAATTAATTCCTGAAGATCCCAGAATTTATATGGCAATATAAACTAACCCATATCATAATGTGCAGCACTTGGACTCTCAAAATAGCTAACAGGAATAATACATGCTAACCACACATACCAAAACATTGTGCTGTTAGTCAATGTTCCAAGCATGTTAATTAACATTTCCGTAGTGTATGTATTACAATGCTCAAAAAAAATATTTTTTAATAATCAAGCCACAGAACGGAGGCTGAGATCACAAGAGTCTGGGTCACAAGAAGAATCTGAAGCCACAAAAGTTAAAATGGAAATTCTGAGCGAGATTTCATTTCCAACTCCACATGTTTTGTTTATGAAACAACTAATTCAGTTGCTGAAAAAAATAATTGAAAAATATTCTTGAAAAGGAAGAGTGAATACCACTGAAATCTTATATTTCATATTTTCTTCTCAAGACAGCTGTCACAAACTAGCAGCACCAAGAACCCATTAAAAAAAAACAACCAAAGAAAAAGTAATGGATGACGTAGAAGATGCAGATTTTACTTATGTAAACTTAAGTTAATATGTTAACTCCTCTCTTTGAAAAGGCATACAACTAAAATAGCAGTAGAAATGTCTTTTTAAAGAATTTACCTTCCACCATTGATGGACTGTTAAAGCCTGGCTAGGCCTTGCAGCATGTGCAACCAGCTCTTAAACTCTGTTCACTGTACTGTAACTCAGCAACAACTGACAGCTACATCTAGGTGAGACAAATTACAAACATGTTTATCATTTCCCCAAAGGAAACACTTGTTACCAAGTTCAAATACCTGTTCTACACCATATAGGATGTAGACTTGGAGATCTAGTCAAGGACAGATTTGTAACATCCAGAGGAAAAACAAGGTTCAAAACCCCAAAAGAAAGAGAGGGGCAGATGCTCTATTAGAAGTGAAGACTCCACTACAAGGTGTCTGGGTTTCAAAAGAAAAAATCAGCTCCTGAGAATGTGATATTGTCAACAAGACAAAGAGAGAAATTAAATATTTAAAACTATTAGAAGAAATACAGTTAGAATTTAGATTAAATCTCCTGCAAGTCTCATTTTTCTTTCCTCTTCTCCCATGTACATTTTGTGAACAAAAGCTTCTAAGAGATCATTGGAAAGCAAGACATTGTTCTCAATGTCTTTTGCCACAGAGAAAATGTTGTACCATTTAGGGTGGGCATATTTTTCAGCCAAGCATTACAAGGAGGACTGGACTAATAGATGTGACAGTGAAGGTGTTTTGTAATATTCATTTCATATAATGTCTTGATTTCTGTAGATGGTTAGCAGCAATAGATCTGCATTGTACAATGTGAAATCATCTCTCAAAATAATACAGTATGACAGGCCAAATGCATTCTGGTTTGATTTGCACAAGGGACGAATATAGAATATCTCACTGCAGTGCAGCCATTTCCCATATCAAACCGATGAGGTCAAAAATGCTTATAAGTTCCAGAAGTGTGGGGGAAAAAACCTTGTGTTGTCCAAGAGTGCCTTCTCCTTTACTTAATGACTAGTGTATTGTTATACAGCAATTAAACCAAACATGTACAAGAAAGGGATTTTTGGGATTTATTTGTTTCTACATCTCAATGGCAGTCAGCTTACAGAAAACATGATGGAGTGAGTTCAGCATGTGGGGATAATCATGTAGTTAGGGAGCAATGTTTAATCTAGTTGAGGCTGGTAATCTCTGGATGTTGATGCAGTGTCATGCACTGCCTTGTAGCATTTCCACATGGGTGATCTATTGCTTTGCAGAACTAGAATCTGCATTTGATTTCTTATTCTCTTATCTACTCCTCAGGGATTCAGTAAATCCATCAGAATTTTACAACTGCCATTCTCTCTAGGCTGTGATACATTCGCAGTTAAGGATAAAAATCAGGCTTTAAAGCAGTTGCTACTTGCAGCCTTCTGCCCTGCACTTCTGACAGAGATTGCCAGTGCCCCTGCAGGAAGCCTGAAACCAGCAAAGCACCTCCTGAGCACCCCAAGCCTGGTTATTAAGGTACATACATCCACTTTTATAATAGCGCTTAGCTAAGAACAGCAGCAGTACAGAAGCTGACGGAATCATGACTCAGTTTTGATCAGAGGTGGGGACAACAACTTGGGCAGGACCGATTTGATCCATCTGATTTTACTCCACTTCTCCATGTGAATGAACTCTTGGACTTCATCAGTGTTTACAAGTTAGCAAATGGCAACCCTTCCAAAAGCAATTGTTTTGGGACAACAGGGATACTTCAGCTGTCTTGGACTCTTATTTTACTGAGAGCTTTACAGACCTGAGTCTTCAATGGTTATATTTTTTCCAGTGTTTTTGTTTTAAATTTTCACAGCCACAAATGAAACAGAAATGAAGGTTTCAGTGCATCCTTCTCTGAACCCCATGAAGACCTGCATTAAGTCACTATCTTCCCTCTCTTCAGACACTTAGATACAATTATATGAAACTCAGAAGTATTATATAGCAAATAATATAGACTATTATTTGCATGTTTTTATTATATAGAAGGAACAATAAAATAGTTGCTGATTTTAAATGATAAACTTTTATTCTGAATATACTGTTTTTGCACAATAATTAACACAACAGTTCTAGGATTATAAATTTTTATAACATTATTGTACAAATTTTTACAAAAAATTATTTTTTTCCAGGCTTGTCAAGTTCCACAAAAGTGTCAAGAGAACACAAGAAAAGGGAGAAAGACTTGCTTGCCTTGTAAGAGCAACCAAGTCTTTTTTTGCAGAAACGCACACTGAGCATTTCAATAAAAATATCCCAGAAAGCATGATCCAGACATTCCATACAACACAAGAAGAGAAGACAGCTTTGTCAGATCACAATCTCAATTTCATGGCATCTGAACAAGACAGTATCCCTTTAGCCTCAGTGAAATATTTCTTCAAGATGATGTTTTTCTTTTAAACCATAAACAGGACAGATGCAAGTAGCTGGGAAGAGGGTGAGGCTAACTTTTCAAAAGTCTTGAATTGTTTTCAGACGCTTTGTTTTAATCTTTTTACAATAGTGTACAATGAGTATTAACAATATTAACATTGTGGTATGAACAAAATAATAATAAATCTGGCCTTTGTTAAAGGCTTAGATATCTGATGAAGTTAGGGTAAAATTTATCCTGGAAAGGAGTTATTAAGATTTCACCTTAGGTTGACATTCCAAAAACACCCGAGTGCATTGCAGTGCCTTGTAGGCATTAATATATTTCTTAATAACCACTGTGCTAGCATCTGAATTTTTGGATCAGCGGTACTGAGGTTGTATTTTGGAATTAAGTCATACTAAGCATGTTTGTTATGTGTTAATGGGAAAAAAGGTCTTAATGTCTCTTCAGTGACAGCAAAAAGCTCTCAACCACAGCAAGTAACACTTGGGTTGCAAAGGTCACTTAAAAGGGATACTGCTTATCTGAAACCAGTAAGGCCAGGTTTTTAGTTAATAAAAGGAATATTGTAGGAAAACTTACAAATGGCAGCAACACTGTTGTTTTTGTCAAGTTAAGCAGTAAAGCCTCAAGCATTAGAAACATGAAAAAGATCATACTAAAGTCTTAAAGGTACAGGACCTAAAAATCTTGTCATCAGACCTGCTATGTCATGTTAAAAACCTGTTACAAATATGGACCACGGTCAGTGTTTTGGCAGTAATGCTGGTTGTGTAAAAGCAAAAACTAGAAAGAAACCTTTCATGTGAAGTCCTCAGATCATGTTTTGCACAGTACCATGCCGTAACAACTTTAATGGTGGTTACTTGTCAGATGAACAATACACTGCATGACTTCTGTGTGAACTGAACCAGTCCCAAAAGTTCCCTTTGCACTATTTAAAGGATTTGAGCAACCATCAACAGAGCCTTTTATCTGGCTTTAGAAACCACAACTTTTTTACAGTAAATCATATTTAAAAATATCTTAATTTAAATTTTAGGATCAAGCTGATTCTTTCAAAGACAAGAGATGACTATAATGGACTGTGAGAGTAAGGATACTCTTCTGCACGAGAATTTGCATTTACTCATGCGAGCTATTACTATCAGACTGGTATTCACATTTTGAGATAGCTAAAGTTCAGATTGCATTTTTGGTTTGCATTTTGCAGATACTGGGGTATTTTAAAGAAGTCTTGACCATCACTTGGTTATATTCTAATATATAATTTCAAAGTATTTAAAACCCTCACTACTTTCTAAAGTATTAATAAAATGGGTATCATGTTGGCTAGATGTTTAGATAGAATGTTATAATGTTAGCTGGAAGGCTAAATGTTTATATAGAAGCACATATTTCAGGTCATATAGAAGGGCAAAGGAGAGGAACAAAGGTCATTTCCCTCTTTGGATTGCCCAGGAGGGCTCTGTGTCTGCATGGCATGGGCTTCTCCCTCCTTTTACATTTGAGCACTCTAAGGGAAGTGGGATGAAAGCAAAAGCCACAGTTGTTTCCTGTGAGAGCATGAATTTGTGCCATCTTTCTTTCTTTCTCCTTACAAACTCTAATCAAATTCTTATTAAGTAACTCTGAAAATAGCCTACCAGCATAAGCAAAGTGTTTGAAACAGTGCAACTTGTCCATGAAGGGTCTCTTTTGGGAAGGTAAGTGAAAACTATAGAAAACTTAGTACACTAACGTGAAATTAAAAAAGCACAACACAAACCAACCAGTATTTAAAGTAACCTCAGAGTAAAGGCAGTGAGTGCAGTAATTATTGGCCTGATCCTAGAAAACTTGCTCCTCCCATAAAATGTCAATTGGATGCATTAATGAAAGATACTGGATGCAGTCTTGGCATTAGAAACACTCAAACTAATTTTTTTTATCAGGTGGTAACTGGGGCTAGGGTGAGCAGAACTGCAGCACTATGGTCTGGAAGGAAGTTTTTCTTCACCCTTATTATCAATGTTAGCTCATCTTCCCTGAGGAGGACCTGAAGTCATCCAAAACAGTTAATTGTACTTTTAACCTCATTACACTGCTAGGTATATATATATATATATTTAAATCTAGATTTTTTCACTGAACAACAGGTCAGGATTTATTTTTTTCACTCACTGTATTCCCAAACATGAGAAAATACACAGCTGGAGCCAATGTACATGAAAAACAATGAACCAGCCGTGAGTACAACTACTGTAGACATCTGATCGTTCAAGCCATGCCGTGGCTTTGAGTAGCTTCTTCAGTTTTCATAGGATATTAATGCATGCCCAACCATTTCTTTAAGCTTTTGGCATGATCAAAATTATATCAATCAATTGCCAGCATATACATACCAATGATTTGCATTTTTTTATTTTTAAAAGAGCTAGTGTATTGTGCCATATTAATATTTGCATTTTGCAGTTGTTAGCAGAACTGTACAATACCAGCAGAGTTGCACATTCATTGGTTTAGCTGTCTTGCAATACTGTTTAGTTCTGAAAACTAGAAAAAAAAGCGCAAATCATATTTTGCATCAACACTATGCTACACTGTAATATTGTAATTTACTGCACCAACCTGTATCACCAATGAGGTTGTATAAAAACAACTTCTAGAGTTATTATTCACAATCAAGTATCAATGTGCATACATATAGATTCAAGGCTCCCCATTTGTTTATCTTTTTTCCAATTGCAGCAACCAGGTCATTTTGCTGTTAAATATGCTATTTTCATTAATAAATAGCAACAGCATAAGTTTTAAAATTATAGGTGGGCTTATATGAAGGAAACAAAGGGGGAACCTGATATGAACCTTAGAGAACATATACTTCCAAAAATAAATGTGTTAAATCTGATTTTTATATTCTTAAAATATCTGTACACAGATTTTCATGTGAGATCGCTATTCTGTAAAAAATCCACCTCAACTCTTTCATTACAATAGCTATATTTACCCTATTTTCCCAGCTTCTTCATTGCACAGTATATTCAGAGCTCTGTTTCATAATATAATTTAATATGATTTGATTGCAACACATTGCATTGTTCAATTTCTCACACAATACAAGAATCACTCTGTTATCTTTTCAATGAACTATACTCTACCATCAAAGAAAACAAACTGAAAAACAATAATATAGCATCATCATCATCATCATCATCATGCAAAATACCCCTGGAAACCAACGTTCAAATATCACAAAGACATTTTTTATTCACAAGCATTTTTGTTTCAGCCTTTGAAGAATTTCTACTAGCTTTATATGTAACTGCATTGTGAAAAGGAGGTGAATATTACATTGAAATTAGCATTTTTTTCCTGACAGATGACACCAAGTTTAAGATGAAAATCACTTTGTTACACTCTCCAGTTCCTTTGTATTTTGAAACACAGTAGATTTCTCCCTTCTTTGCTTTATACATACAGTATCAACCTACCAAAGCTTAGCTGGCTGCATGATTCATTTTGGAAGAATTAACCACTCATCATAAAGCATTCCAATCATGCTGAACTTCTGGTAAAGACTGGCCAATATTTTAATTTTACTCAACTAGTCTGGATAAAACTGAGGTTGAAAGCAGCCATTGTGGTGCTATTAATGTATATTGGGGAGAACGTTTTCCTTTTTCCTTTTTCTTTTTGGTTTTCAAACAACTGTTCACGTAAAAGAATATAAATCTTTAAGATATCCAAAGCTTAAAAGAAATGAAAATCATATACATAAGCCGTTGTTAGGGGAGCCCTTTTACATGAAGTCATCAAGATTACAACAACAAACAAATGAATAAACAAAAGGTTTTAGATTTCCCCAGCGGGGCACGTACAGAAATCTGTTTGGATGTAGATGATGCAGCATTCACACACGTTTAGGGATCCGACACTCCAACATGCAGGCATCGTGGTGCCTCGATGAGTCTCACAACGCGTGAAAACCAGACACGAGCACTGCTGTTCTGCTGCTGTCTCTTAGCTGACCCTTTCGAAAATGAAACTGAGGCTATCGTTTTGGCCAGGTCTTGATTAAGTTATGCAGGTTTTGGTTTAGCAAGGTCATAACTGGCAGTGTCTGCTGCCAGATAACAGCCAGAGCAGGACCAACTGAATTGCTACCATAGACCACAGTGATGGACTCAGACCAGAGGCCCCACCGCAGTCAGCCGAATCTTCCTGTTGACAAGAAGAGTAGAAATCATTTAATATTAATTACAGTGAAGCTGCTTGAGAAGTAACCTACAGCTTAGTTTCCAACATTTTGAACTACCATTGAAGCATCCTTTTTGGTCTTATATATGTTATTTTGCTAATATAGCAGTAAAACAATTCCTGCAAATTCCTCTGATTTTTGATAAAAAGAGTGACATTATTACTTTAACTATAAACATGGGAGGATTAAATACTTTCAAGGTTTAGAGCACACACTTATGAACTAGATGGGATACTTACACCATCAAACAAGAAACAATATGGAATATACCTGGGAGCCCAAGTTAACATCTTCTATATTCCTTAAAACAACATTCATTTTAAGATTCTGAGTATGACTTTCTTGTGAGAAAATATAGAACAGATAACTTTTCAAGATTAGAAAGAAAATACCAAAATATGTTTATGTCCACTTCATCAAATGATTGCACAATAAAATGAATATGGTCTGCAGGTGAAGATATGATCAAAGGGAATGAAAATCCTTTCTCTGCCTCTGGTGCTCAAGTATGAGAAGGAAATTTTCTATTGCACTACTTGTACATGCTTGATACAGTTTGAAGCTCTCTCTGAGCTGCAGCTCTCTGTCATGCATTAGTAACTATTCCTTATGCCACACAGCAATCACACCACTTTTCTTCATTCCTCTCCACCATCAGTTGCTGTTCTTTGGTCCCACCTCGCTTGCAATGCTCAATACCTTTCACATGATGGACCTATTCATTAGTCTGGCTGAAATACACTTGATACCTGTTCTGGAGCCTGTAACACCTTAGACCTTGTTTCTCAAGACTGATACAACTCTGATGAGTACCTAAAAAGCCAGAAAAATTTTCCCCTCACAGCTTTGTCTGACAAGTCTGAGATTCATGGTTAGCTCTGAAGGCTGAAAATATTTGGTCTTTTGTTTTCACTGTATTCTGTACCCATGGTATAAAAAGACACTTTCCATTTTCCAAAAACACTCCAAGCCTCCAAGGGGAAAAAATCCAGTGTGGGTAGAAAGGAATGTAGGTATATTAGCAACTGGGGAAACTTCTTGAACAGGAGCAATATATTCAGGGAAGGATAGATAACTGAATCTGAACAGTAACAGAGACTGGCTGTTGGCACAGAAATAATAATAACAATAAAAAAATATAACAGAAAGCAGAGGAAAGACAAAAGGCAGGAAAAGCTCCTGGTTCAGACAGACATGCCTCTGAGGCATATGCAATTAATACTTAATATATTCCAGAAAAGGCTGAGGGATGTGTGTGTGTGTCTATAAAAAGTACAATCAGGATAAGTAAGAAAGAGCCATTAAATAACCTTTAATTTTTTAGCAAATTTCTTTAAGCAAATTTTGGTTTCCTTAAGCAAAACTTCCCAGCTTTGTAAGAATAGCAGTGCAGGACATCAAGTTTACTCAAATGGGCAAGAACAAAAAAGCACATAAAAATGGCAGATCATATATAAACAGGAAATAAGGCGGGGGGGGGAGATAAAGTGGTTTTTTATAACCTCTCTGCAGAATACACTGAAATGGTAATAGAAATTTTTGACTAAATCAAAAGCACAAAACCAATGATGTTAGGGCAACTCCTTCATAGAGGTGTAAAGACAGAATTTGGAAATTACAGGGCATAGCAAAGGCTTTCAATGAGTTCTTTATACCAGCTTTAATGGGTGAGAACCTTAATGTTATTTATTCTCCACACAATGCATTCTTTTAAGCTGGTAGGTTTCCAAAACAGTTTGGAAAAAATATGGAAAATCAGATAAAGCAGACAAAGCAGACTCAGTACATTATCAGGAGTTATAGCATTCACCAAGAGTCTCCTTTAGAAACTTGGATGTAAAAAAACCCCAACAATCCCAATCCCCAAAAAAACCCCAAATCAGCATTCAATTTCCTTAGAAAGAAACAAAAAATCATTTTGTCCTAAAGCAAATAGCTCATGTTGGCCGCCATTGTTTATTAACAGTAGTGTTTTCCAGACATATCTCTGTCCTGTTAGCTCTATAATTTGGTTGTATAATTTTGGCTTTGGCTTTTTGTTTTGTTTGGTTTTTTGTTGTTATTTTGGTTTGGTTTTTTGTTTCTTCTTAGTTGATTGCTCTCTACAAGTTCAAAATTCCTAAGGTTTCTGGTCAACAAGGAGTCCTAAGTGAACTCTGCTGCACCAGATTTGGACTAGGATGCTAAGATTTCAAGATGCACTGAACATTCTGGTTTATTTAGTTTGGCTCTGTCACTATTTGCATCTGCATTGTATCTTGTCATGCAGCTTTATTTCTATTTAAAGCCCTTAAAAATAACCCTGTTGCTTCTTTCTCGCAGTGATTACCATTAAAACCAGAATTATCAGTAAAGGTTTCCTCTAACATGAATTCAATGAAAGGCACTCAGTGTTACCTCTTGGTATTTATTACTCTTATCACTGAAATTACTTAGAAGAGTCATCTTTGAAGAAAGAGTTGAAAGCAAAGCAGCAGATTTAAAATTTCCAACAGACAGAAGATGTCTGGAGAGTATAAGTAGTAAAATGAAGGTCTTAAACAAAATTGTGTTTAATATGAGGGGAAAATTCCTTTATAGTGAAAATGGCATCCAGTACACAAAACAAGTTGGCCTCCACATACAGAATTATACAGGACTCATCTTACACCCTCTTGCATTATACCAAATATTGCAAATTATTTTCATAGATTTATCCTACCACCATATGTACTTGAAAACACCCTCCATTCTGTTGTCCATTTCTACTTTCTCTGAGATTTTTCTAACTACAGCACAATTTCTCAACTACTCTTACATTCATCAGTCATACAATGCAATATTCCTATTGGGTTGAAAAGAAGTATTTTAGTATCTTTTTCCCCTCTTCCTAAAACTATACAGGGAAGTTTTTAAGGGATTCACAATTCACAACAGTAGAGAATTTCTTGGAAGCCTCATGGAGGAGAGGCAACTTCTTACAATGAACGAGACTATTAAACTGCACTATACAAAAGTATACAGGGTTTTTACACTTATTTCAAGGTTAGTGAGATTTTAACATATTGATCAAAAACACATTAAATTTCTGAGGTTTGTAGACCAATCTGCAGTGGTAAACCATCAGTTCTGCCAAGAAAAAATTCTAAATATTGTCTCTGGCATCAGTTAATTATTTCATGTTCTAAGCTAAGACAAAAATAGTAGTGGGAAAGAAGGTACAGTAAATTCAATCTAAATCAATTTTTTTCCGGAATTTCACTCTGTAATTTTCTTTTGAGTTTTCACTCTTGTCAAAATTACAGAACATGTAATTTTTCCAAGAACATATTTCAAGGAAAATAAAATAAATAAAAAGGGGAGAAAATCTGATTATGTGTTTATTTACATGAATCAAAACAATCAAGGGTCCCCTAGAAATAAGTGGGATTCCATCCCTAATTTAAAACCAGATTGAGATAAATGTCAGTTTTGAATGGTCCCCAAATTCCATTTTTGAAAACACTTTCCCTCTTCTTGAGCTTTAAGGAAACTTTTCAACTGTTTCATGTTAATGTTATTTTTGAGATTTCTTCTGAAGTATCTTATAAGAAAGATATACAGCATCACTTTATCCTCTCTTTACACTATCTTATCTTTACCTCTTCCAGTAAAATTAGACACTGAACTATTTTTAAGCAGTTTCACTGAAATTTTCCAGCCCATGACATTAATCACACAAATCCTGAATAACAGACCAGTGGAGATGTCCTCTCTTTGTTGTCTTCAAAATTACGTCTGCATATTAATTCTCTTTGAAGAGAGAAAGAAATGTAAAAGAAATTGGAAAGAATTGTAATTCTTGTTGTAAGCCACCAGAAGTGAGTAGTTTCTCACATTAATCACATTGAATTTCCTTGCATGCTTAAGGTAGAGAAATATCAAATCCAAATGTCATCTCCTTCATGTCATGCCTTACTATCACAGCTCTAGATAAGGCAGTTTTACAGCATCACGTGCTATGAGAATTATTCAGCACTTTCAGAATGGAAATGAATGCTTTTATAAAACCATACCTTCACTGTTAAATATCAAAACCACAGAATAATTGCTATATATCAGCAATTCATTGAAGACACTGCCAGTCCAAAATTTTCAAAATACACTAGGAACTATAAATACAGATATACATGTATATGCTAAAGCTATAAACATATTTGTTACTCCTTTAGAAGTGCACTATAACTTTTTAATGTACTAAAAGTTTGTTTCTAAATTATAATAATTCATCAGAACCCACTGTGCTACTCTGACATATAAAAGGGTAAAACAACATCTGCCCAAAGAGCTCTGATCTGGCCTTTGATACCAATTGATTACCTCAAAGTTATACCTTTTATAAGCATGTATTTTAAATGTTTCATATTACATGGAGAACACCTTTGCTTTTACTCAGGAGTCACTTCCAGTTTCAATGCATGGTCATTCATAAATTTTGGGTTACCCTCCTTTTGCCTGGACTACCAGACAAAGCTGTCAAAGGTGTTCAGACACCCATGCACAGGCTGGGGACGCAGGCAATTCCACCAAGATTTATCCAGTGGCCTGGACTGCTGATCACCCTCAAAGCTCCCACTGACATACCTGGGAGCTGATGAAAGTAAGACATTCCCAGTGGGGGCTAAAAATCTGTACAGTTTTTTCCTTTATTCTCAGGCATGGCAAACAAAACCAGTGTGCATGTACAAAATAAGAGCAAGCCATTTGAGGCAGTGATAATGACTATTTTGTTATCCTTGATGAAAAGTAAAAAAACCTGATCAGCTGGATTGTATCAGTGCTGGCTTCAGTGATTTAATATAACTATTCAGATTAATGTCCAGAGAGAACCCATTTCCAAAATCAGAAAGTTATTAAAAGCAAGATGGAGGAACAAAATTACCTTTGTAACTTTCTGTTGCCAAAAGCTTATCAGCTAAAATTATATTCTGTGTGTTTCCCACCTTAAATAGAAAGTACATTTTGGGCATAAAGAATTCAGTTCAAGGTGAGTCTGCTATGTATGTTGGACAGTAGCTTTTTAATTAAAGAAAGCTATGTGCAGAGCAAATTGCATGAGCAAGAATATGAGATGTTAATCTAGATTTTAATGTGAAATACTACTGGCTTAAAGAAAGGCCTTTCACCTTTCCCTACAATCTTCTGCCATGGCTGTGCAAGTTCCTAGGTTTGCAAGAAATTACTTCATTTAAATACAGAATAAGAAACTTCAAAATTACTCAAATAATAAACTGTTAAACAGAATTTAAAGATTGTTTTTTCACTTATGTTCAAGAGATTGGTATAACAAGATATTAATTTAATTTTCCCTTAAGTATGGAGAGATTATAAATTACTGTGAAAATGACTGTTCTAAATTTCAATTAATTACAATATTTCATTATACCAACTTTGAAAAATTCCCTGTAAGCTTTCAGTTCTGCCTCAGTTTGCTTTACTTTGATAGACATGTGAGTATCTCCCTCTAGTGGTTTTCAGAACAATGCTGATCAGAACCCTCTTCAGTCACACATTTTTTTGCTCTTTAGATCAGCAGTTCTCTTGCAGATATGTCACTTGCACAGTAACTCATGACACAGTCCCACACCATCAAATGCAACACAATCTAATTGCCAAGGCTTTACTTGTAAACCCCAGAGTCTGCACTTGGTCAATATGCAGGAGTCAATTAGAAGATAATACCTCACCTTCTGCTGTAATCAGGCAATTAATATGTTTAGGTCGCCAAAAATTAAGAAGTAAAAAAATATTATTTCACTGAATTCCCAGTTTAACCAATTTGATGCACACCATTATCTTCCATCATTAACTGCTTCATTCATTTGAATGCAGTGAAAACTCCTCACTCTTCTCAATAGCAACACTCACACAATAACACTCATCCTTGGCACCTCCTAAGTGAAGCTTTACTCTCACAGGTATGATGTCTCTTCTATTTGCTTTGTATCTTTATTTCTGTGAAAAAACTTTCTTCTTTTGTTCCTTTTGACAAGGGAAAAATGCTTAGAAGAGAAGGATGCAGACTCAAGCTGTTACATGTGCGATTCCAAAGAGCGAACCATATAAACTCAACAGGTTTCCCTGTCTTTGTATGTTCTGTGGGAGAGGCCGTCGTGTTTACTAATTATGATTTATAAGGCTCCAGACAGGTTTTTTTCTTTTTTAATTTCCCTTAATATTGCAACAGTAATTTACTCCAGATTGTTGCTTTTGGGACTCGCTTAATTCTGTTTTCTTTTGTATGCTCAGTAAGTAGAAAAGTCTGCTAATTTTTTAAGCCAAGAACAAAACAAAAAATTAGAGAAAGTAACTGACCATCCACACCACATGAAAACTTGCAGAAAAATGAAGATAGGAGCGGACGTCATGGCAGAGGCACGACTCGTTGTGCATATAGGCTGATCCTATTAATAACGGGCAAAGTAGCAAGTAGAGGAAAGGAAAGAAAACACAGAAAAAAAGACATACAAGATGAGATACCATGCAGATTGCTGGCAGTTAGCAGAGTTAATGTGAAAGCATCCACCCAAGAGCAAGAGATTCACAGCAAATTTTGCAAATAAACTTAACCAAAACAATCCACTGTTACAAAACACATGACTTACACACTGATCAGCACATCAAGCTAGTGAGCAAGAGTTGTACTTTCACACACAATCACATCAGGATGGCTTGGATTATTTACAATGGCTGGATAGTTTTTGAATGGGTTTTCAACTTTATTTAAACTTTGTTGGCCAGTAAGAAGACTTCCTTTTGAAAATAAAATTTGGTTACTAGAAAAATGCATTGAACACCAGTTCTCTAAACATTTCAAATACTACTGACGTCTCAGCAATTGTGCCTCATTACAAGAAAAGCAGAGAATGGACTGGAACAAATTTTGGTATACAGCAGTTATTGCCAACTAAGTGCACTGGTTTAAGACAATCTTTCCACTGCAAAAATTGCAGAAATTGCATGAGGCTTTAAAAATGCATGTTTAAATTTTTATTGTATCTAATAATAGGAACAGGAACTTCCTTGTTCAGTACTTTTTGTCTTGAAATTTCTTCTGAACAACTTGAATTCATCATAATCTCTTTTGTATCTTTGAATGGTAGCATAAAAAGAATATTAAAAATAATTTAGATATGTGGCACAGTTATAATATTTCTCTTTTAAAACTAATGCATTCAACACAGAAGTACCAAAAAGCATAGTTTTGTTGATTTCAGTAAAGCAACGCACTTTTAAACCTGCTAAGATCATGACCTAAGGGCAGTACAATTTGCAGAATTAGAAACATCATCTTAAAACACATATAACATTTTTAGTAATTTAGCAGTACTTTAAATAATATTTGGAAACATTAATATAAAAATACTACTTCTAAGCCAAGATTACAATCTTCTTGTGCAAATCACTGAAGAGCCGAGTTTCACAGCACCGTACAGAGACCAACAGTTTTATGCTCACTGATGATATTTTAGTGGGAATCATGTGTGAAAGTGCAATGGGTATAGAAAAGGCAGATAAGAAAGCAGCTGTTAAGTTTATGTTAATTGAAATAGAGTGGCTATGGTCTAGAGTGAACAGTATGTATAGTGATAAAAAGGTTACTAGGCACCAAGGTACACTTAAATACAGTTTTCACTGATCATCTAAAGCTGCTCTACAATTGTTTGTAAAGATAGTCTTAAAGTCTTACAACTTCAATTTTACCTGTTTGGCTTCATCAAAACAGATTTCAGGACCCTTTCTGTATCTAGGTTGTTTGACCATTTCACATGGATTTGGCCCTTCATCTGTTTCTCTGGTTAAGGAGTGTCACTGTTTTTCTTGCATTGTACATGAGAAGGATCAATATTGTTTGTTTTTTTTTTCCATGGCAGGAGACAAGATTTATGTTAATTCAGAGAGTGCTGGAATAAACATCACTATTCACAGCACCTTGCTTGGATTCAAGAAAACCAACCCAACCATTTAGATAAATCAAAATTACATACCTTTTTTTTTTTTTTTACACTGCTATAATCAAGAAAATGAACACACAACTTTTTAGAATATTTTCAGAACCATAAACAAAAAATAAAACAAAAGCAGAGTTCTTTTAACATTTTCTGTACTGCTTTTTTTTATCATTTCATAAATATTTCAGGAGATATTTCGTAAGGCAGAAAACTTTCAATGGCACTGATTATGTCACCACTGAGTTACTCTGCTATAATGAAGATACACAGTAAAAACAAGGAATCTTTGGAAAAGTAATGTCGTATACAGTAGCAGTGAAAGCCTATAAAAGCTACTGGTTCTATTATGGGTACACTTGTATTACCCCAAATATAGAAAAGATCATGCTGCTGTAGGCTTTGTAGTAAACTTCTTGATCCCATTAGCATTTCAGTGATGAGGACAGACAGAAAATGCTGTCCATACTACCAGAAGAACGGCAGGAGAGAAAGGGGAAAAATGACCTGCTATTAATTAGCTAACTGAATATATGAGGTGCTGCTTCAGCTCACTTCTCCGAAATCTGTAATTGCTGGTGTTAGTCCTTCACACTGTACTTCACATGTGCCACTAGATAATGTGGGGCACAAGTCATCGCAGCAGACTTGAAAGGCATGGGTGTGGCAAACTGCAAAACAGCCTTCTGGTGAAACCTGCTTATATTACCATTCAGTATGTTAAGCTTTTTTTATTCCATTCCAGATAGCACACATATTAAAGAAATCGAGTGCCAGAATGTATTTTTGCAGTTCTAATTTACACTTGGAGCAATCCTGTTCATGTACTACCACGAGCAGTGCAGCAACCTCAGTGCAACAAGTGGAGAGGCCAAAGAGAACAGAAGGCAGGATGATGGGGGGGTTATTTCTACAGATCTGTATCTGCCTTCATTCAGATGTTATTAGACTCCCCTCCCCTTTTCTCTGCTGTGGCTCAACTGAAAAGGAAGTTGGAACATGAAAATATTCTAAGAGACTGTGCACAAGCAAAGCTGCACCAGCCAAAAGGAAGCAAAGTGTAATAATAATCATCTAAATAGCACCCAAAGGTCATTTTGTCTGCTTGGGTGATGTTATGGTACATCTGCATTTTACTATGTACCTTATTTACAGAAGAGAGAGAGTAGCTTAGTACTGCATAGTTGAATAAAAATAAAATAGTTCCTTTAGTCAATATAAGCCCACCCAGCTGTTCTGACTGCCATTTGAGGTCATTTGCTGCTTTTTAGTAGTTTTGGGTTCCACAGGGAAATGCAAGTCATGTGCCCTTTCCCATTCATCATGTTTCATTTTCTATAGTGAGTGCTGTCTATAAATTCAGACAGTGGAAACAGTTAATCAAACTGTCATGGACTGAAGAATATTAGGCTGTGTTTACATAGTGATGTGATGACACCCCAATGTAACTTCCTTTTCAGCCCAAGCGTAGATGGAATTCCAGTTTTATTAATGTGGCAATGAATGCATTACTTGTGCCAAAGAAACACAGTCATCTGTACCACCATCTGCTTTTCTTTCAGGAGTGGGAGAGGCTGTCTCAACTAACTTCCTGATGTGGACAGAGGTATTACTAATTGTTTTCCCTGTTCTGCCACAGTAATCGAAATTATGTTTTGATTTACCACTTCTGGCACCTGTCCTCAAGCCTACACAGAAGAGAATGGCTGAGGTGATTTTCTCCTGGCCTATATTGTGTATGTTTGTTTTATGTATTTCCATCACCATCACTTACAGGTATCTACTGCAGTGAACAGGCTAAAGCAGAGAGATTGGCATGAAGGTGGTTGTAAATTAAAACAGTCTTTCACATGATTTTAACTTCAATGTTTGTGTTGCAAGAGAGCCTAGCACGTAAACCACCTGTCTCCAGCCAGCTCTGAAGAAATTCTATGCAGCTGGATGAACTCTAGCCTTTAATGGCTAATGCAGTTACCACAAGAACTAAACTTGTCTTTGACACTGAGCACATGCTAAAGTGCATTCATCAACTAACCAACAGTGCAGCATCTCAACTTTTCATGACCAAACACTCCTATCCTGTCCCTTTTTTTTGTTATTTCTATAGGCAGACATACCATTGTCTTTTCTAAAATTTGAACAAACCCAGGACACTCAGACTTTCCTTGGTTGGGCTCTCAGATGCCAATCACCTTGGTGGCCCTTCACCAGATTTCCTTCTGTATGCCAGTGTGGTCCTGGGAAGCACACAGCACTCCAGATGTGGTCTCACCAGTGCTGAAGGGTTGGGATGGATCAATTCTCCCAAACTGCTGATTACTCTCTTGCTGTCATAGCCAGGGATGTGACCAGCCCACTTTTCTGCAAGGCACAGTGCCAACTCATGGTCAACTTCCTGCCCACCATCAACCTCCAGCTCTTTCCTGCAAAACTTTCTGTCACTCTGTCCCTAGCCTGTCCAGCTATGCAATTATTCTGTCCTCAACCCAAGACAAAGGTCCATTTGCTTTTTTGAAACTTCATTAAGTTCCTGTGAGCCCATTTCTGTCTAAGTTCTCACAAATAACAGCTTTGCTCTCTACCTCAATGTCTGCTGTTTCACATGATTTGTGATATCATCCACAAATACCTGCTACTTCAAGTGTTCCAGTGGCAACCATGAACCATGGTAATAACGTAGATAAGTAGGTCATTTCTCCCCAAATATATCCCAGTATCCTATAGCCAAAAATCAATCCACACTACTAAATAACATGATTTTTAAAGGATACCCGGCTTCTCCGCTTGCATCAGTGGCTTTGGGTCACAGGAACGGCACAGGAGTTGGCTGTCACTGATAATGAACACCAGATTGGTGTTTGAAATCTTCTCTGCATGATAAAGTCTGCAAAAAAAGCCAACAAAAACCTATGTTTAAAAGAAGCAAGGAAAATCATATTTGAGAAGGACACACTGTATTGGAATAAAATAATCCAGCTTCATAGATTTAGTCTGCCTGCTTCTGTTTATCTTTTTCATTAACAAACAGTAAGAAACATTTAAAATAAATTTTGCAATCCTTTTGACATTTCCATCGTACCCTCTTTCAACTAGACTTCTTAGTGGAAAAAATGGAAAAGAGCATAAAATGACTTTAATTGAATTAATAGCTAGCTCTGTACTGCTACCACAGTAGCTGTACTGAGGAATAACATCAGTTCAGCATCAATTAACACTGAAAAAAACCCCAACCACAAAAACAAACAAACAAAACTCCAAAACATAAACCTCCTCTGTAAGAAGAGTGGGAGAGAAGCATAGGGTTTGTTAATGTCATGTATTGGATATGTATTTGTTGTATTTTTATGGCCATATAATTCTGCAAAAAGGTCTTTAAGTTAGAAGAGTTGTTTTCAGTTTATAAATAAACCAAATGCATACTAGCAACATGGAGGAGGAAGCAGGGAAGTGGAAAAAAATGTCTGCGTGTTTTGGCTCTCTTCACCTTTCTCCAAAGTTCTCTCTTTCTTTCCTGGCTTGAAATGTTGTCTTTTTTTTTTTTGTTTGAAATCTGGTTATTAATTCTAATTTCTAAGATGTTTTCAGAAGCTCAAAATGTATACAAAACTCCAGCAGGCTCTTGTATGAAACAGAGATCTAGGTTCAAGATGTTATGTTTCTGAAGTATACAATTTTTTTCATGAATTAATAAATATCATCTTCAATAGGCCTCCTTATGGTGTCTGGAGAGTAATTATTTTAATAATAAAAGAGATACCTTTTCTTGCTTTTTAAGACTCATAGCTTTTAAATCATGAGCACTATCAACTAGAAGATAAATTAGAAGATAAATTGCATAATCTCTTGACCGTCGAAAATTCTGATACATAACCTGATTAAAGAAGATCATATCCCTTGGGATACTGCAGAATGCTTTTAAATTGACATAATAAATTAAAAGAAAACAAATTATAACGGAGATAAAAATACAATTTTCATGGAGCACAGACTATAAAAAAAAAAAACCTGACTAAATTCTTTAATGATTAAAATGAAAATTAATTCTAAATGAATAAAAAGAGAATGCAATTGCCTGCCTCTTTTCTTCTCTGTCCTTCTTATGTGAGTTTTGTGAAATTAATCCAAAGTATCTTTTTTCTCTATATAATAAAGTCCCTATCTTTTGTAAAATAAATAAAAATCACAACGTTATTACTTATATTGAAGAAATTTTACCTGGAGCAGTTTATACAGTCTACAATCCCACCAAAGGATTTATCATTGTTTTCAAAGAAATATTGAGTTTGCTCAGTGATACAGCTTGTTTTAGGCAGGGCAGCACCGAAATCATCATCTTCCATATCAGCTGATATAAAATAAATAAATAAATGATTACAACCACAAACAAACAACATTTTTAAGTCACAGACATAATGGGGAGACCCAAATATGTCCTCTGGCCTATATTCTTACCTTCTACTTCATTCAAAAGTTGACTCTTTAACATTCTTTTGACTTACCTGCCTCGAGGAATCGTGGAAAAGTCAAGCTCAAAAACAGCTGCTGTAAGATAGACCTGAACACAGAAAGACAATATATTTATTTTTAACGGCTTTTTTCTTTTCTGTAGCATAATGGATACTTAAAATCTATTCAAATATAAGTTATTAACAATAGTTTTTATGCTTTTGTCAGTTATCAAAGCTGTGTTTCTTTAAACCTTCCAGTTTGACTCTGGTTTTCTTTTCCCACATTCTCACAGGTCTTTCACACTAATCTTTTATTCTACAGTTCAGATTTTCTGTAATGTGTTCCCAGAACTCATATAAGGGAAATGTTATCACACCATCCATGCCCTCCTTTTATACCTCTGTGGGAGGTGGAAGAGGCATGTTGGCATTTCTCTACAAATTAAACCAACTGGAACTCCTCTTTAACACAGGGAAAATGCTCCTGAATTAGATACTTTTCACTGATTAAGTTTCATTGAATTTCTGAGAAAGAGATCAACACTGGAATATTATGTTATAAAAAATATTAATGTAACATTTGACTTTTAAAGTCATCTCTATTCTTGCTCTTGAGGTATGGACTACATTTTCTTCTGATATGCTGCCAAAATACTTAAGCTTAAAGCGCTCCATTTATTTAATCTTTTCCTCACTGATGATAGCATTTTTTCCAATGTTATTTACTTAAAGTAGGTACCAGCTTGCCACACAGACAGACATTGTCTACCAGCCTGTCAAAACAGGAACAGCAACAGGTACGTTCTCTGTCTCACTGCTTCTTCTTAACCTTCTTAAGTTGTATTTTCCAGTTGTCAAGTTTTAAGCTTGCTTCTACCCGCAAATATGATCCAATCTCTTCTCATCTCATTCAGTTTTAACACTTTTTCTGTAGGGAGAAGGGACTGTATAATTTCATTCAACCTGAGAGTTTTTTCCTCCTTTTCTAGCATTATTTCTGTGTGAATAAACTGAATATACCTGACACCTTCCCCATGGAGGCATTCCCTGAAGGAGTTCTGCACTCACATCCACGACTTTGTGCTTTGAATCATCACAGGAACAGCACAGAGCAGTTATGGATCAGAAGAGACCTGCTTCTATTCAATAGTGATGCAATTTACTGACAGAAATCTTTTGTAATGGCTTACCTCAGAATTTATAGGGAACTGAACAGAAAAGGCAGCCTGGGAAAAGTCCTAAATCTCCTGACTTAAAGGAGCATGAAGGAGAAATGATATGTACTCTCTTAACCAAATGCTGATGTATCCTGTATAAATTTTGAAAATGATCTCTCACACCTTTATCCCACATTTTTTGCCTGAAACACTAGAGCTTTCTTTAATAACCTGGTTTCTCTTATTTCCCTGGACTTGCTTTTGCCAGGTGCCTCACTGACTCCATTTTTTGGTCATCCCTTCTCACTTTGCTTAATGGCCTTCTCTGCCTGCTTCTGACCTAGATTCCATTAAAAACATGGCCACAGTAAAGTAATTTAATGTTGTGCTTTCAAGTTAAACATCACACAAAATAAACCTTAGGTCTAAATTGAGACCAGACTGCTGATTCTGATTTGAACACTGATAAACTGAAGTTTCTCTGTTTGAAAAGAACTCAAGTTACTCTTCTGGATTATTGCCCATCTTCAATTTTTGAGGCTTGCTGTTATCCAAGAAAACCAACATTATTTCTCTTCCTGTTAACTAAATGTAACCAACAATAAAAAACAACATACAGTCTTCATAGTGCTTCTGTGAGAAAATTACTATACGTTTCTTCAGCTGCTACATATTTTAACTCCTAGCTTCATAAAGGAGGCAATTTATTCCAGTTTAGTAATTATTATTAGGAAAAAAAAAAAAAAAAAAGCATCATGAAGTTTTAGAAAAAAGGACCAGTCTCCAAGGGTGCAATTCACACCACAACAAAAGCACCACATCAGTGCCAATTACTTATCCCAATGTGGTGCTGAGGGAAGTAGCTGAAATGAGTGTCAATTGGTATGGCCTGAGAAAGGTAAAATACCCCACCTGAGTACTGTGTCAGCCTGGAGTCCTCAGCACAGGAAAACATGAGCCTGTAACTGGGTCCAGACAAAGGCCACAAAAATGATCAGAGGAATGGAATACTTCTGCCATAAGGAAAGGCTGAGAAAGTTCAATCTGAATAAAAGGAGGCTCCCAGGAGACCTTATTGTGGCCTTTCAGTCCTTAAAGGGGGCTTTGAATGAAGATGAGAACAAACTTTATAGCAGGGCCTGTTCCAGTATGACAAGGGGTGATAGATTTAAACTAACAGAGGAAAGATGCAGACTAGATACAAGGAAGATGGTTTACAATGAGGATGGTGAAGCACTGGAACAGGTTGCCCAAAGAGGTTGAGATGTCATCTCTGGGAACATTTAAGGTGAGGTGGGATGGGGCTCTGAGCAACCTGATCTAGTTGAAGATGTGCTTGCTCATTGTAGGGGAAGTTGGACTGGATGACCTTTAAAGATCCCTTCCAACCCAAATGATTCATGTGTTTTGTGAAATGATTCACTGAAAAGAAAACATTGATTTTCTTAAGACTTCTTGCTAGAAAAAGACAAAAATGATATTCTGAAATAGGGAGCCAAGTGATTAATAATTCAAAATCTGATAATTTAGACATCACAACTGCCCATCATATGTAGATCATTAATCCAAACTCTCCTTCTTGAAGCTGATTTTGTAGTCAGAACACACACTCATAAAACCTGGCAAAAGCAGTTTTGAATTGAACTGTTTGAACTGTTTGAATTGAACCATTGACAAAACAGTCATGTTTGGAGGCATAGCTAAGAATTTTCATGACGAGAAACTGCAGAAACAAAGGGTCTAGAGAACTTTTATGGAGGAAAAAAAGCCAAATAGAGTTTCAAACCACTGAACAATTATAGTTTGGATATAGAGATTTCCTACACTCTTGTACTTACCAGGCTGCTGCTGAAGCCCACCATCCAAGTTGCAAAATATCTGTTATTGTAGGCTGGAAAAAAACCCCAAAAGAGGTTATTTTATTTGTATGAACACACGAAGACTTTCAATGGATTGTCAGCCACTGCACATGGGACTACCGACCACATAAGCAGAACGAAGTCCAGCTCCTTGCTTTGGTTCTTCTTCGGGGTCACAGACTGACTGGTAGTCATACGACTTGTTAAAGGCATACAGGGACATGTTAATCAGGTTTCGCATCAGGCCAGGATCAATTTCACCAAAGAATCTTCCAATCTGATGGGGGGCAATACAGAGAGGTATAAAAACATTGCCAAGTATTCTTCTCATAACAAAGTGCACAGTTCTACATTCCCCAGTTAGCCAGTAACTGTTAAATGCAGTCTCAATGAGACCCTGCCTGGGGAAGAGAAAGAAGAATATGAGAAAGAAGGAGTGTGGGTAGCATTCTGCTTGTCCTCACCATCCATTGGCAGCCTGTCAGCCTAATGGCAAAGCACAAAGAATGGAACTTGATAGCAAATTTGGCATCTTCATCTATAAAGAAAACTAAAAAAAATCTAACAAATCCCCTAGAATTTCTGATTCAGCAATATTTTTGTGATTCAGAAATGTTATCTTTAGAGTAAGTTGAATTTTAATGCTTTTTCTTTTCTCTTTAAACCTCTTCCTATTGGTTTTCATCTTCTGTTCTTAAAGAATATACATACCTGTTGGGTATATTCATCTCGATTGGACATCAAAAGAAATCCACCATCATCAAGGATAACACAGTCCACATGCTATTGTAAGAAAGTGAAATATGTTTTACAGGAAAGATTTGTCAATAGAACACTCTGTAAGAAACTACTTTTTTTTTGAAGACATCAGAAGTATCTTCAAATCTAAAACCCATAGCCAAGGGCCAATTTTAAGTTATAATAATTAGCATTATCAGTATAATAAAAGTTTGAACAGATCAAAGGCTTATTTTTGGCTTAATTTCATAGAAGTTGTTTTGCAAATTCTTCCTTGCTCAATACTTTGTTAGTTCCAAGAGTGCTATATCCTTATTAAATCTGTTTATAATTGGAACTGAGCTCATAATAAGGGGCTACAACTTCTCATGTGCTTCAGCCATGTTTAAAGTACTTTTCCATTTGCAATTTTCAATGGTAAAAATCTTAAGGGCAGGTTCCCAGCTTTCTGGGCATGATTATTTTCACTGCCAAGAACTGTAGTGGGATTATTCCAGGTGTCAGGTGCAGGAATGGGAAACCCACAGATTCTATATGCTTTGCACTTTGTAAAAGATCCTTGTAGCCAGAGACTGGAAAGACAGCAGTGAGGTCAAATAGATAACTCTCCACATTACCCTTCCTCCTGCCATTTTTGCATTTAATGATCTTCACATTCTTTAAAAGAACACAGAAGACTTGAGGCAAGCATATGGCAGAACCTGATATGTTGACAGTCCCTGGATCTGTGCTCTCCTGAGTGCCAGCAAAGCTATGGGATCCCCTAATACTGAATGTGCTGGGAACCAATGACTGTGGAAAGGCACATTATGGTCTCTGGTGCTTCTAAATTTGCCCTCACCCTTCTCTCAGGTACTCCTTTTCTTTAGATTTTTAAAAATTATTATTTTTTATCTCAGGATTTGTCTCTTGTTTTGCAAATCACTGCTTTATTTTTATCACATTTTTTTCCCACATCATTCTCTATTGCTTTTCCTGTATATTTTTTCTTTACACTTGTTATCATAACTTCATCACCATAACCACTTCACCTCCTTTTATGCCCTTTTTCCCCACTTCCCCTCCTAACCTTCATCTTTCTCAAGACATAAAAAACTAAGCCCTGTTTTCTATAAAATTAGCACTCAAATTATAGTGATAGAATCTGTCTTAGCTAGATCTAGAGAGAATGAGGAATTTCAATACTCTGTCAGATATTCACAAACTGAACATTTTCTTACCATGCTATTTCTTTCACAGCCACAGATTTCACTGTTGCACTAAAAAACAGAAGTATGATAATCTTCACAAAAATGTTACAAAATAAACTGTATTTTGCAGTTTAATATTAATAATTCAAGACAAGAACAAATGATTCTATTTTCAATATATATACATAAATTTAAATTCATTTTGAGTGTGTGTCATTTATCAGACATATCTCTCTGAACAACATGTATTCAGTAATTATCAGAAGCACAATCTTGACTGCTTTTCCCAAAGACTGGCACAACTCCCTTTACAAGTATGCTCAATATAGGTAAATAGTTTGCATGACTTGACAGATGTCAGTGTTGTGAGCATAAAGTAAAGCAGAAAGAATAGGAGCTTTTCCATGTGTTTGGAATTTGGAAGGAAAGCCTTCAAAAGTATCTTTCCAACCAAGAAAATCTTCAAAGCATGGGAATCCTATGTGCTAAAGGAAACCCATCATCCCAGCTGGCTTTTATGGCTTTGATTTGAACATGTTTTCCTCATGTTCTCGCAGTATGTGTACACACACACACACACATCTGTGTCCTTGCATTACATCCTCAGCAGAACAACTACCAGGTAATGCTGGAGTCATCATCATTCTTTCTGAAATACTCATCTTACTTTCTATTTTTCACTTCTGTATTTTTGTCCTTAACTGCTCTAACACTCAGGCAATGGATTTGCCTCCCCATTGAACTGCAGCTCCAGCACCTAAACCAGCCAGACTCTTTTACTGATTCCCTAAGCATACAACCAACCTACCAAGCAACACTGCCTCACCCAGTAAGAAGTTTACATTCCCTAAGTTTCTTCATTTTGTGCCCTTCCCTCCAAAATTCACTATCAATTCCATATTTTCATTTAATCTTTCCCCCTTCCCATTTACACCTCAGATGTATTACACATTAGATATATGGAATGAAATTGTTAAGCACCTATATCATCAAGTTCTGCTAAAATGCTGTGATGTTGGTTGCAATATAAATCCTTCCTGTTCACTGCTTGTCCATCCTGGATATTGAATTCACCAATTCACCAATTCTTTTGCAGATTTTGTTCACTGCTACACCACAGTCTTACTACTAGCTAGAATATGTCATTTTTCTTTGTCTGCATCCATGTTTTATAATTATGAAAGCAAGACATGTACAAAATATGGCCTATTTCAACATAGATTTATTTGTGCATTTGGATGATTTAAATACCACAACTACTTGGCAACTATGCATCAGTGTGATTCTGGCACAAAGAGACAGTAAACCTATTTCCATCTGAAGCTTTGAGAAATGCAAATAAAGTTCAAAAAAGACTTGGTCAATTGCTTACCAGGGTCTTGATTGTGGTTTTTGTGAAATTGTCCATCCAGCTGGTTGCATCAATTTTTATTCCAACAACTGACAAGAAATACATGGAAGTCTTTTTTAGTAAAATGAAGGGGAAAAAAAAAGGTAACTCTATTATCCTAAAAAAGGGGGGAAAATTACAATGACATCTAAGTCATTGAACTGGAGAATGATAAAATAAGATTTTTGTTCAGTTGTCCAATCACCAACATCGTTCATGAGACTAATAAATTCAACACTCTTACTCAAATGCAAACAGATTTCCACTAGAAAGATTAAAACTGTCTCAGAGAAAATAATGTTATTATAAAGTGAAGTTCCTTTGAAATCTCAATTAAATTTCCAATTCTCTGTTGAGCAACAACCAAATAACTAAAGTATTTTGAGTTTCAGCACCACTCTGTCTTACCTGCTGGCTTCAGAAGCTTGCCATCCACTTCTATTTCCACAGCCTTGCTTACCATAATACCTGATTCATAGCTATTGGCACCACTTTCTGACAGTACAGAAGAGAAAAAAAGAGCAGACAAAAACGAAGTTAGGGTTGCATAAAAGCCTCTTCCTCTGAAATTTAAATCTATCATTATTCACATACCAGAATGATTTAAAAAATCCTCATCCAAAAGCACAGACCCAGCTGTAGTACACACTTATCATCTGTGATAGATCACTAACACTGGCATTTTCAAAAAGAAATATTTGTGTTTATTTTTCTTCTTTTTGTTCCCCATTTGACTGCTTCATAAAGTTACTGCAGCTTTTTCTTTTCTCTGCAAACAGAGCCATGAATACCTCATACACACACGTGAGCAGCTCTGTTAAAACCAGGATCAGAGGCAAAGATTTTATCTTGATGTTGTCTGTGTATTTTTCAATGGAGGGTATACTGACACCACTCAATAAAGCACAATTTCTGATCTGACAGACTTCAAACTGCTGTCAACACTGCTCAGTATGAAAAGACAAGTTAAAAGTACATTCTCCAGAGCTTTCCCCAGAGCTGTCTGAGGAGCAACAAAGGCTTCAGGGAATTTTGCTAATTATTATCTTTATACTTTGCTGAGAAAAAATGCAATAAATAATTATGAAATAACAGCAATGAAGGATCCTGTATGTTTAAGAGAGGAGTATGTAATTTGTGGCAGACAAACTTGAGAGAGAAGGTTAATGTTACATCAATAACAAGACCTTGCTATTTGGCTTATATAGGTTTTAAATGTCATGATATCTCAGACCAACTGGCTTTGGTGAATGAGTGCAATTGTAAATAGAATTCAAAAGCAAAGTTTGAACTAAGTAGTGTTACACAGGATGGACTTACAGACTCTGGACCCTTTTGCCTGGTCCCCCAAATCAGTGCTGGGTGTGCTGAGACAGCATGCAGAGCTCAGCTGGATTAAGACTTTGGGTAGTGTTATTGTCTGTGAGTGCAATTTTATTTCACTTTCTGCTAATATAATTCTGCCAAAGTACCTCTGTAAAACAATGTTTCAATTCACTTAATGAACACCAGTACTCTCTATGTTTTCACTTAGGTTAACTCTGGGCACACCAGAGTAGTTGAGAAATTATGACAAATTATGATAACTTCGTTTAGTGCCTCCTAGATTTTCCTTGATAATAGGTATTATTCCAAGATTTCTTTCCTTATGAAGTGTCACGCTTGCATCTTTTGTCAGTGATCTCATCTGGTATGGGAAACTTCCACTTATATTGGACTACCTAGCTCTGACATTTCTAAATTGTGATAACTTACTGTTGTAGTATGGAGCTGTGAAAATATAGTTGTCATTATCTAAACTCCTCTTATAGAAGCTGACTTCATAAGTTTCAGCATTTTCCAACCAATCTTCTCCTGCCCTAAATATATAAAAAAAAAAAAATAGGGATCAATAAAAGACAGTTTAGAGCCTTATAAAATTGTGCTGCTGTTTGATTTCTTTCAGTGTTTCAGAGTTGGAAAAAATGTGAGATTCACTCTTACAGTCCTCAGGCTCTGTCAGTTTTCACTGGTTAAAAGACAGGTGTAATCATTAGAAAAAAAGCTTTTAGATTTGTTGTGACAAATACAACTGTAACACCACTTACAAGAAAACCTAAATGAGCCTCTACAGAACATGCTGTGCTTTGAGCTTAATCCTAAGAGATTTAATATCATTAATAATCCCAAAATAGGAAAGAAACTCACTTGGGAAGTAAAATTCATTGCTATTTTCACATTTTGCGGAAACACAGAATAACCTAAGAAAATAGATAAATTTGCAATTTACCACTGGATCTGTACTGGTGCCCTCACCATTCCCAGGTACTTGTGGGGGTGTGTCTAGTTTATTATATGCCAATTTTAACATTTCCTTTTTGTCCTCTGATAATGATACATTTTTCTCTCTTGAGGTCCCTTTAGGTTTGATCTTATTCTAAAAAAACAACTCACCCACTGCTTTCCAGTATTTGCAGCCTGCCAAGCAACTGAGGGCTTGGGAGTAATTAGGAATTAGCATGGCCCCACTGCTACTACGAAGACATAGCTTTTACTGCTACTCTACACTGATTAGAAACTTGGATTACAAGGGTCTGTTATGAAAATAATGGGATAGATTAGTTTCAAGCAGTGCACAGGTGACATTCCATTAATTTTGTAGCTATCAGTACAGATTAGACCCAGGAGACTGAGCTTTTCATCCAATAAAGCCACTCTTAAACTGTCCCATCCTTTCAGGCTTCAAAATGATCATATTATACCATTTTGTAATAATTCTTACCTTTTGGGGAACACTCTAGTAATTCCACCATCTGTAACAACAAATTGTGCAACAACTCCATCACTGTAAATAAAAATAAGATTTAAAATGAAAACTGACTGAAATTCTTACAAATTCCTATGTCAAGGGTTGCCATAAAAGTGCATAACTGTGAATAAATAGCTATTCTCTGCAACATTAGCCGCATATCTGTATATACACACAGATGTATAATATTTTGTTTTCAAACTCTGAAATGCATAAAAAAATCACAGTCAGTAAGAAGAATACTTACAGAGACAGTTTACTCCAGTAATTTTGGACAAGTTCATTTGTAAATCCTGCATCCAGCAAAACTCTAATGACCATATCAGTATTACCTATCAAAAGAGTTAAAATGTAAGTCATCTGAAACCATATGAGATGGAGTTCCAATAAAAGCCTAAAATGAAATTCTGAGTTGTTGAAATGCTCCAGCTACAAAAATTGTGGTTGATAATGTTAGATATTCTACCTAACTTCAAATGATGTCAGGTAATTAGAGTTAAATAGATGTTCTCACACTGCTGAGTTCATTTAAACATTTTCTTTGTGTCCTAAAAACCTATCTTTGTGTTACAGGAAGGAAAGTGATAAGGGTATAGGCCCCAGCTTTGCAAAGCCCCTAAGTCTGCAAATTAATCTATTTTTAAAATGTGTTCATTAAAACACTTTTTATCTCAGTTGATGCAAGGAAACAACAATTCATAATGAAATTCAACTACATTATAAATATATTTAGATCAATTAAGTCCCAGGTTCTCAAATAAAACACATTTTTCATCTGAAAATAGATATAGGTAAATAAACTGATTTTGAATTGAATGGAGATGCCATTCTTAAATTTCTTTGAAAAGATGGTTTAAGTCAGTCTCAACCATCTTTTTCAACAACATTTTAGAAGAGTTACTGAAGATTATTTCAGAGTGGGGATTTTTTTTGTTATTCTTTTTAAAAAGCAGTTTTAGCTGACATAATTTCTGCAGCCACTCAGCCCTTTAGTTACACTATTTACGTATTAAGGAGACTATTTTTAAAGTGACTTAATTATTAGGAAAAAAAAAAGGAAGGAAAAAATTGCTGCATATTCCAAATGGAATACAGCAATAAGTAGATAACATTTTTGAATAATTAGTTATTAAGCACTACTCTAAACTGCAATATCAATGTGTCCTCAGTATTTGCTCATAGTTAATATTACACAATTATTTTTATTTTTATTAAGATTTATTAAATTTATTATGTATAATAAATTTAATAAATATTATGATTATAATATTTATATTAATAAATGTTATAAATCTTATTTATTAAGATTTATTATCATTAATTGTTAATCACTGGAGGTGAATGTTTTCATTTCCAAGACTGACTCAAGGTATTCAAATAAAATTTCAGTCCATCAGCAATGTGTCAATGAATAAGATCACTCTATTAAAAGAACACCAAACACCCACACAGGCACATAAAAATATCCTTTTGTGAGAAGCTATCATATCTAAGTGGACATTCCTTCAGTTACATGGTCTAGCAGAGAGATTCTTTCTGAATTGATCAGTTACTCCTGACAGCAACATGCCACAAAAAGACTTGAGGAAAACAAGACAAAAAAAAAAAAATATTCCAACTATTTATAAATTATTAATAATGATAAACAGATGCACATGTACCAAACCAAATCCAAACACTGATTTTTTTTCTTGAGAACAAGGATTTAACACCTCACTAGTGGTAATAACTCGTCAGTTATTCTAAACAGAGGTTATGGTCCAATCTCAAAGTCTGAATTAATTCCTTCCCAAAGCCCAGTGCTCACCGCTGCAGCACTTCCATGGATCTGGGGTTTTAAGCCATTCAAGCCCAAGTAAGATCTCTTTAACCAATTTGTGAACCAGCAAAATAACTTCCTTATCTTTTATTCTGGTTATTGGTTATTTCAGTCCTGGACTTTTTTCTTTACTTATTTTGGAATAAAATGACTAGAAAGCAGGTTGAAGATTTCATTACAAGATTTTGAGTCTGTTTGAGACTTTGGCTGCTACGCTCAAGTGAGAAAATATAAACTCAAAAATATTTGGAGTGTATTAAAATGAACCAGTAATTATTTGATGCTTGAGCAAAATGCTGAGAGGAATTATGGAAGACACGGGATGCATAATGCCCTGCAAACTTTCTTAAATAAAGCCAGAAACTTGAAAATTAATTTTAAACTGTTTACTTGGATAGAAAATCCCAACACTAGATGCATTTCTACTAGAAAAAAAAAAAAAAAACAAACAACAAAATTTGAGCATGAATTCTCATCCATGAGAAGGTGTTTTCCTACGGAAAAGTTTCAGTGAGGTAAGAAGAGTACTTACATGATGAGCTGCTTGGAGTATTTCTGTCAATAAATTCAGTAAAATTCAGTAGAAATTCAGTGTTGTTTTCTGATTTTTTTACATCGCTACAATATTCTCTGAAAAACAACACAACATCAGTCTCATCATATTTTTTTCTTTTGCTCCTAAAGCAGACAATTTAGAAGTCAAAGCAGGCTTGCCACAACTATTATGAAGTAGCTGGTACTACTGTGTCAATTGGCTGCAGTGATCAGTATTTAACGATTACCATATCAATTATTTTGGACATCTACAGGAAATAAGGTGTTCAAATGCTTGCCTAAGCATTTGTTAAGATTGTAAGAATTTTTTAAGATTGTAAAAAAAACTGCATGCATGAAATAAGGCATAGACTCCCAGGAAAAAACTGAGGAGCAGTGTAGGACATATTTGGAGATCATAGTCTCTGCACTAAAAATACGCCCAGTGAATTTAAATTCTTTCTGGGTTAAACTGCGCAGGAAAGTACCTGGACTGCTTCTGACACACAACTGCCCTGTGCTCAACTAAAGCCACATTTATAGGTTAAGGTCCTATCCTCTGAGAAGTTTTAAATGCAATTTTATTAGGGTAAAAACCACATGAACATATAGACACTCTTTGTTTTGACATATGCAAAACAGAGAAGCAGCAAACTCCTATCCCTTATATTATGTAATAAAGCAATATATCATTGGGCAATTCACTGAATGCAAGCAAGTGAAATAAAAGTCACTGGGCATTTTGGAAGTAAATATGATGTGATGAGTGGCATTAAACAACTTTAATTAAAATGTAGAGTGTATAGCAGTAAAGCAGGGGGCTCTCTTTTTAAAATGAGCTTTTATATTAATTTAATTTGACACACAAAAGAAGTCTGTTCAAGTATTCCATGTGACTAAGATATCTTATTACCCTTTATTTATCTTACCATAATCCAGAAATACCACAGGCAGAATTTACCTTACTATTCCAATATTCACGTTTAAGCAGAGCTACATATCAACCAGACTTTTTTCATGTAGGACAGTAGTGAATTGCTGGAAGCTGCTAATTGGTACAATTAATTCTCAGTAACTTCAGTCTTTCAGAAAAATTAAATTAAACAGGCTAGAATACATTCTAAGACAGAAAACTTCACATAAATCAATCTATTAATTTAAATCAATCTGTTAACTGAAATTTAAAAGTATACAGAAATTTATCAGATAAAGAAAGAATGCAACAAATCTAAATTGATCTTAACTGTACATAATTTCCTTTCTTTATCATAACTATCTTTCAGAGGTACTTAATTTTAGGAAGTCTTTATCATACCATCGTATATTTTCCCTTGCAAACATAATTTTAAAAGGGAAACAAGAATTGCAGAATTTCACATAAGAAAACCTCAAGGAACTAATGAAATTAATAAATTTTCAATGACTTAATAATTTTTATGTTCAATTAATTGAAAATTAACTAATACTTAGGTAATAGAGAGCTTTGAAACACTTTGTCTTGAAGTTGGAAAATGTTATGGTAAGTATTATGAAACCTATTTCAAAAATAGTTGTAAAATCTTAGAAGTCAGAACCACAAGAAATTCCCAGATGTGAATATGTTTTCCATTAAAATATCAATATCAGTTTTTACAGCTCTCTATATATGCAGAAATCAGGGCCTGAAGATGCTTTTTACATTCCAGAATGAAAAAAGATTGATAATTTTTTACCAAATTAAGCTTTATTGGTTAAATCTGTATTTTCCATGTGCCAATAATCAGTTCAGATGCTGAAATAATATTTATTACTGGGAAATCAACCAACCTTGGTGCTAAAAACGTATAGCCAGCTTCATCAAAATGATCAAGCTTCAGTGATTCTGAAACTAAAAAGATGAAAAGTAAACACCGAGTAAATAAACTGGAATTTTTGCCATTGTTTCTCTTCTCAAACTCTTTGGCTAACTTTTGCATGCATCCATGAATTTAGAAAGAAATGTTTGAGACACTTTTCCCCTAATGAATTCTATGCTTCTCAGTATTTTGCAACATAGGAAGACATTACCTGATTATTATATGCAGCATACAACTGGCAACAATAAGATAACATCTAACAATTTATTTAAGGAACACAACATAGAAACATGGAAACAAATTAGATACTTTCACTAGAAGAAAACTCTGATACAAATAAATATTTGTGATGCTAAGTTGTTAGAACATGAAGAAAAATACTCCTAGTATTTCCTGCAATAAAGTTTGAAACACTCAATCGTAGTAGCATCACTGTAAATCCTACTGAAAAAATGCCTTTAATAGCTGATATCAGTGAGCACTGATAGGACCAGACAAAGAAGGATTAGAGATTAGCAACACATCAACATGTTCATGAAAACAGAAAAATACTTCACTTTTGTTTTTCCCTTTCTATTGCTATGGTACCCAATGATCATGGAGAAAATCCTGAGATGAGGAATACAGAGGAGAATATCCAGTAGGAATAGAAATACAAATGCAGAAATAGAAATATCAACTGTAGTAAACAGAAGGAAATTGAGCAACAAGAATATACTTGCCCTTTTTGGATGACACTATCCATCAGAAAGAGAAAGCAGGGAAACAGAAAAAAACAGGGTAAAGCACAAGGGGTCACAAACCAATATTTTATTCAAACAGCCCCTTGAATAAAAATATTGCACATAGATTCAAAAGTTCAATTTACATACAGCTATAGTCTGAAAAAAAAAGGACAAACATCTCTGAAGACTGAATAGGTTCTTAGTTATTTCTCAGTACCTTCTATACACTGTGGCTATTTCAAGGGTCTGTTTTGCAGGTTTTATTGATATAAGTGCAAAACCAGATGATCTAATCCATCAAGAGAATCATACTCTCTGCTTAAAAATTTAATTTTGAAGTAGTCAGTATTGGGAAAATTTACAAAATAAATCACTAATTTTTAAAAGTTTCTATATTCTTCATGTGTGGGATCAATGGTAGAGGAGAGTGATGTAGTGCTAAACAAGTTTTCTCCAAACTAACAGTATCTATGCCTCTCAGAGGTTTTCTGTGTTTTTCAAACTTTCTATTTAATGCATACTTGTTCTAATTGATCATAACACTTGGATAAAGTTAAAAGGCTTTGATTGGTTTTACCTAGACTACAGTTAAGCTACAACTAATAAACAAAGAACCTTTGAATACTGGCAGGTATAATTTCCAACTATCACTTTGGAATTTGTAAATGGCTTGAAATCAGTTCAATCTAAAAATACAATGCAAACATCCACTAAAATTGTTTGTAAAATGCAAAATAAAAACCTATCTGCAACCCAAAACAAATAGGGCCTTCACACTGTTCTAGCAGAGATCATTTGCTAAATACTATATTGTAATTAAAATACAAAAAAAACCCCAAACTTTACTCTTATAGTCTATTTCACTATATTTTGTTAATAGAATGAAAACAAAAATTGCATCCAGACCCTTAAAATGACAGCAATAGAGGATACACAAAGCAATGATTCTATGGGCACAGGGCAAGGGGTAGGGATTGTCAGTGGAACTGACATGTTCTGCACATATTCTATTTTTATAGAATATTTCTTGCACCTCAGATGTTACAACAGGTTAGAATCATTGCTGAAGATTTTGTGTACATCATGATAACATCAGTGAATTCCACAAAATTTATGAATTTCAAACATTGCTTTTTAAGTGAATCTGAGACTTTTTACCAGACAAAACCAGGGAATCTTTACAGTACTTACATCTGGCTTGAGTTATTGGTTCATCTATTTTGGCTTTAATATAATAAAAGCTGTATGATGGTAACACCAGTGCCAAACTGCAACAGAAATCAGAAAAGTAAAGCAATCATGTTATTTCCAGCAGTTTTCCAGTTTCAGCTTCTTTGTGTTTTGAAAGTAATTAACAATTTTGGAATTTGGACTGTCACGAGATGAGGCAGGTACACAGTCAAATACCAGCCTCACACTTAGTAATAGACAAAAATACATTTATGCCAATCCTGAGGGTCCCTGTGTTTATTTTGATTCTTATTTACACTTTTAAACACAAATGCATTTTAGCATTTGTAAACTTTTTAGCAGACAAGCAAGGAATTTCCAAATAATTGGAAATAAAAAAATACATGTTTTTTGTATATTCCTCTGATACATTTAACATCCCAATATAACATCTCATGGTGATCACTGACTGAAAAACTATCACTTAGTGCTATGCTGCTTTGCACACATCATATAATGAGAGACTCTCACTAAAAATCAAAAAAATCAAAAAAAAAAAAAAAAAAATCAATATTCTCCAGGAAATGCATCTGCCAATACTTGCATTCACATTACCTTCAGGATCAAAAAAAATATTTTCTTTAACCATGCAGTCACCACTAGCAACTATTGAACATAATTGTGAGGTAATATTTTAAGATTTGCAGAGCATTTGAAATGTTTTCTTTTATATTATACTTAGTTCAAAATATGTAGGAATTCTTTTTGCAGCTGAATTCTACACATAAACAGAAGTGTTCAGTTCTAAAAATATATGTAAAGGACAGGAGGTATGAATAATTATTAAATAGGTACCATCAACTCCCAAGTAACATCCTTAATTTTAACACTTGGATTTCATCCATGCAGAACTAAAACAGCCCCTAATGAAGAGCCTCAGAAATTAACATTAAAAATGTCGTACAGTTGAGCCATAAATGAGCTGACCTTTAATGACACATTTGCCATTTATACAGAATATAAGTGAGATTGCTGAATATTTAGTGATAGCCTTCTACCAATTCTCCTCTAGGGAAATCAGTGGCAGTTTACCTGTCATTAGCAGTTACTGCTAGCAGAAATTCCTAATTAAAATCTATAATTTTATGTTTAATAGGCAGAATTAAGAAGTCATGTAAATCAAATGTATTTCTCTAGTGATTGCCAGATGGCAGTCTGATAAAAACTTCCTTTTCTTACACAGTATAAAGACAGAGACAGTTCAACAGAAAAATGGGATAGAAGATCCTAGGTTTAATGTTTGTATTCTCAGTGACTGCACACCTGTGCAGAAGACAACAGAAACTGGGATCCAACTTGGCTGAGGACTACTGTGATTCAGCATAACAGAAATAGCATTGTGGTCAAAATTTGACTCAATATTTATACCATTTACTTTTGAACTAGAGGAGTTTAATTTCCTGAGACTTGGAAAACTTTTACCTGTTTTGGGTAATGTTGAGGAATGCTTCAACATTTGTTTGAATATCACAATGCTGTGTGCTTAAATGAATTTGAAATAATATACACATCACCTTAGCTAGTATAGAAAGTGTAATGCTACAAATATTAACCAAAATTGACCAAAGGGAGACTTAAATAAACAAAGGGATTGAACAGAAAGGAGTTACCTGTAATCAGTGCCATTCACAGCAGTCCATGTATATGTTCTGTTTCCTTTATCAATATACCTCTACAAAGAGATATTGATGAAAAATTAAATTATTAAACTAAGGACCTTCAACAATTCCTTCTTTGATTTTTCTTTGAGAAATGCTGTGTAATATAAAGTACAAATCTGTTGGATTTCTATTTAGTATTTTACAAAAATAATGGGTTGAGCTGCAACTTCTTTCCTTAAATATTTTCCAAACTTATGTTTTGCAAAAGAATCATACAATTTTTATTGAACATTAACAAAGTTTATATTTAAATAAAATCAGAGAAACCTGACCTACAATGTTCACATTATGCAAACCTTTATCTACATGATTTGAATTTTATGATCCATCTTTTATGGATTATTTTGCAGTTAAACTATGAAAAGAAAAAAAAACAACAAAACAAACCTCAGGTAAAAAAAGACCTTGTAGACAAGACAAAACCAAAAACACCCAGAGCATGTCCTTTCAGGTCACAGCGCCGCTGGCTTAATGCATTTAAATTTGAATCATAAATAACTACAGGCACAGCCTGGTAATTCTGTTTGTATAGACACCCCCTGCTAAACCTAACATGTGTTTCTAATCTCATTAGGAAGGTCTTGAATTTGGGAAAAAATTAACATTGAAAAAAAAGTTTATTTTTAAATAACTTAATACATTATGATAATCTTTACCATTTGTTTTCTTGTGGTATGAAAAATAGCATGATAGGCACAGTCCCACAGCTCCCCATAGATTTAATCATGAATCCACCTGGCTGACATCATTTTACTCAGTTTTCCATTTTAAAAGTATAAGATTATGCCAGCTGCAACATATTATTACTTTACAATCAAATTTTTGGAAGTATGCCAGCAACGAAGACTGTACAGCTGTTGTACTGCAACACTGCAAACATTGGTGAAAGGCACCACAGATATACCTTTTGGTTCTTTCTTTCCCTATGGTAAAAAATACAGTGGGAAAATTACCATGGCTGTGGAAAAGAGGTGACTTATATGACATTTATAAATTGAAACCTTCTCATTACCTGCCTCCTGCTTTTCAGTACGGCATAACAGTATAAATAAATAGTAATTTTTGAAAGAAAATATAAAGAAATATAAAAGAAAACCAGAAAGAAGATGCATTTAACAGTGTCTAGTACCCTGATATATTTAAGGTAAAAAGATGGTTGAAGAGATTCCTATCGAACCCTATTTATATTTAATGTGTACTTCTGGCTAAAATTAGGGACTTGAACCTAGTGCTGGCAGTCCCTCCAAATCAGGCACAATGTCATGGGTCACACATGTGTACCACACAAGAGAAAAACAGTGCCCAAGGTGGGAGGGGAGGGAAGAGAAGAATTGGCTGTAATTCAATCCTGTTGCCACCAGCATTGTCAGAGTGCTTGAAAGCAAATTGGCTGAAAGCTCCCTTCAAAGACAAGCCAGCAGATAACACATCCTCATACCTCAGCTCCCATTTACCTTTGCCTACTTCCTCAGAGGGCGGTCTGAGACCATCTCATCCCCAGCTGATCACTCCAAAGAACTCACACATGTTATTGCAGCTTTTGTGACCCTTCAATTTTCGCTACTACCCAGCCCAGCTGCCAAATGTGGCAACGCTTTTGTTCCTATGGCATCTTCTCTGTTACTCGGAAAGCCCCTGAGGCCTTGGGAGACTCCAGTGCACCCCACCCACATTTGCTACAAGTCCAGTCTCTATGCTGTAGTATGAAGTCATCTCCCAAGACACTGCTGGGGCCAGCTGCAACACAAAAGGAAAGCGATGCAAACTTAAACCAAAAAGCAAAACAAAAAGAACATAAATTTTAAGCCCAAAGACTGCAACTGTCAGTTCAGAGCAACCGACCACATCAGCCCTTTTTATAAGAAAATATATGAAGCTATCAAGTGCTAAGTGATGCATGGCTCATGCGTGGCCCGTGGTTTAAAGCAGCTTTTTTCTGGTTCTGGCAGCCTGGAGCTGGGGGGGTGCAATGGCTGGAAGCAGTCATCATAGCCAGTCAGCTCTGGCTGCTCCTTTCTTCTCTCACAGGGGTCTGGGTAGAGGAAAAAATCTTGGGCCATGGTGCAAGGGAAGGTGAGGATAATTAATTTCATTGGCATTGAAACATCTGGGATCAAAGGCTTGGAATATTTTATTCCAACACAGACTGTGGTTTGGGCTGTGTGTAACTGGCACATTCTCATGCACCCAGGGATGTTACATCCTCCCTCCTGCCCAGATACTGTAACTGACTTCAGCATTTGCAATAATTCCCTCCCTCTTTCTTTGGGCAAAGAATTGCAGGACCAACAGTTACAGGTCTTCTGTAGCACAGAGCCTGAGAAATGTACAAACAGCTTGAAATCTCTTCAACATCTTTGCCATTAATGCAATTTCTTGTACAATCATATTCTTGTTATTGTATTTTTGTGACCTTCTAACTCTCCCTCTTCTAACCACCTACACAGAGCCTTTTTCACCCATAGGCCCGGAAAGGCACTCCTCAAACAAAACAACATAAATCTGAAAATGTCCCAGCATGGAGCCTCTTCCCTGAGCAGCAGTTTATGCTCAACTCAGATGCCTGTGTGTCACAGTGTGTCAGGAATGACTCAGTTTCCCTTCAGGGAACACAATGGTGCCATCCTAAACAGCATGGGCTCCTGACACAGGTGAGGGGGCAGAACTGGCATCCACTGGGGCTTAGCCTCTCTGCCCAGAAAACACCTGTCCATGCATCTTTCTCCAAGAGCGGAACCATTCAGGAAAAACTAATTTTTTCCCACAGCAGGATTTACCCAGATATTGTAAAGCAGATTGTAAATCTTAGTTTTAGCATTTTACTGTGAGAAACCACAAAACAGTAATGGAGGCAAGGGCAGTGCTGATACAGGTCTCTAGAAGAACATAGGAAGAGGAGAAAGCCAACATGAATTAACTGCAAGCAATTCTTCTAACTCTTGTTATATTGAGCTTATATATATGGGCTGTGCAGTGCCTGCAAAGTCATCAAATTAGATATCTTCAAGCTGACCCATGTTCAGAACAATAGTTTTAAAAAGCTGTTGTGGAACTGTAACTATGGGGCATGTTCTGGCCAGAACTGCTCCTTCAGCACACCAGGCATGATTTCTTCTCACTTCTTCCCAAGAAGCAGAGCACACATGTAATGACCCATATCAAATTTGAGTATTTCCTATTGCTAGGAAACAAGACTGCTTATTAGAGAAAACAGTAGCAATGTTTATCAGGAATAAGTATTTTGGACAAGAAAATAAAGAACTCAACAAGCGGTTCAGAAAGTACATGATATAAATGTAAGATGAATTTGCTTATCCCAAAGAGTCTTCATTTATGGCATGAAAATGTTACTTTATTATTTTTTCTCACAACTTTCTTCCCATCCAACCACAATATAAACTACCAAACCCATCCTCACACATCTCCACAAGCAAATTAAGCACTTTGTTTTGGAATTCATGCACAGAAGTAGGCTGGGTCCATTTCCTGTTGAACAGAGTGTAAGACCTCATCAACAACTGCCTGATTAATGATGCACCAAAGAAACCAAGAAACAAAACAATTCTTTTTTTTCCTGAGTATATAATTTATTTTTTTTTTACTATAAGCCAGTAAAACTAGTAAATCTAGAGGGGAAAAATGGTACAAATTGTCATTACAAAATGAACATCCCAGCATTTCACCATCTCACATTATTTTTTCTGGTTTCGTTTAGTCCTGTAAATGTAACTCTTTGGGTTCTTATCTTACCTCATCTTGGGACTTGACCAGTGTTTCAAATGTTTTTTCTCCACTTTCCCCATCTATCATTTTTTTCCGAATCTATTGGCAAGGAAGGAAAGGAAAAAATGAAATAAAATAAAAAGTGTAGGTTTTGCATGTAACATGAATAATCAGTCAAGTTGCAATAATGCAAATTGAAGTCACAACTCTTAAAAAGAAAAAAATTTGTTTACAATTTTCAGATTATTCCAATTAGAAATTGTTTTATGCAAATATATACTGAATCAGTTGAGTTATGAGGCAACAATTCTGGTATACTTTGCATTGCAAGACCATAAAAGTCCTTGATGTTGGGCACTGACAGAGAGAGAATGAATTCTGTGTAGATGAAATGGAGCTTTGTCCAGCATTTCTTGTGCCTCCCAGCACATCTGTGTGATTCAGGTAGTAGCACTGATTCACAGAAACACTTTTGTACAGCTCCAGAGTAACTCCCCTTGAAGCAGCCATTTCAAAGAAACTTAAGAATTAAAGAGATACCAAGGCAGGCTGATTACTGTTATTATAAAAGAACAATTTCAGTGAAGAAATACTTTAAAGATGCAAAATGCCATTAATTTCAGAAAACTAACTGATTGTTTTTAAAAAGTTACCATTTCTGAATATATTACAAAATTAGTAACTGAAAAATATACAGAGGAATCATTTTGTTGTCTACACTGAACTTTGTTTCTCAGTTCTCTTTCTCTCCACAGGAACAATCTTTTGTTAATAAGAGAAAGGGAAACACTTTAAAGATATTTCAGGTAATATTTTAATGATCTATTAAAAAGTGTTCTGTTTTGAAAATTTTTTATAGCTTCCTTTCCAGGAGTTGTTACTTCATGAAGAAGAATTTAAGTAGCAATCATGATGTTTTTCAAAATGAGAGAATATATTACACTGCCCTTGCCTATAAATAATGCTAGGATTTATTTTGCCTAAATATAAATTCATCTCTATAAAGTCAATCTTAAAAATTTAAAATACAAATCTATATTGAAAAAGATTCCCATTCAAAATCTAGAACATTTATTGTTTTGCAGTTATATGGTGAAGTACTAGCAGTGACAGGCTCTAAGAAACCACATAATCTCACCTCAACTTTTATATCATTTTCCAATTCAGCATCTAGAAAATCCAGCGTAACAGGTTCCTGGGATTTAGGATTCTGAAGCAGAAGATATTAAGTTATCAAATAATAAAGACAGAGCACTGTAATATTACAAACCACTCTAATCCCATAATTTAAAATAGGCCTACTTTACTGGGTTTACTTACCCATCTATTTTAATCTCTTGTAGCATTTCTAGGGGCCCTTTCTCATCTGTTTTATTTTGTGCAATAGAGATATTAATCGGGTAAGTGAAAATCAAATTAATACTAACTGCCAGAGCCTGTCTACAGCCTGTCATGTACATGGCTCATGCTGAGGTGCTGCTTCTCCTTCTCCTGGCATCTCACAGACTGTACTGGCTTGGGAGGAATCAGAGTAAGCAGAGAAGCAGAGGATATGGATCTCTCACTTGATGTCCTGCCTCCAAGAAGGGAGAGAGAAATTTGGGAGAGTTTTCCACCCAACCAGTAAGCTGGGGAACTGCACTCTGCAATTTTACCAAGAGCAGACAACAGACTTGCTGATATGAGGAATAGACTACAGGTCAAGATTTAAAAAGGCAGCAATTGCAGCAAATTATTTGAGGTTTATTGAAAATAAACCCCACTTTTATTGTCAGCATTCCAGGACTTCCCTGAGCACTTTGGAGTTTCAAAAGCATTTCTCTTGATATCAGTTATCTCATGTTATCTCAGTTTAGAAGATGGAAACCTGCAGCACAGAAATACTGAAACCCAAGGTTCCAGACCTAAGGAAAATTGGTGATGTCCACCCTCAACTATGGAGCACAGAGAACTCTGGTGACCTACACCTGTAATAACCCTGCCCCACAGGAGTGCTGGAAGAGCACTGTAGCTCTGCTGAACTAGACTGGACCACCCTCCAGCCTCTGCTCCTTTCTCAGCTGCAGTCTGCATTTCCTTGGCCAGAGCCATCTTCCATGTGAGTTGTTGGGAATCCAACTTTTTTTTTCTGGCAATTTTGCCTAAAGCCCCATTGACTTTATATTATGTGTGGTGTTAAAATCATCCATCCTTATCACCCAGTAGTTATTTAATGCACCTTAAAAAAAAAGGATTTCAGTAATTCTCCTATATGAACATATAGAGGGTAAAGTCCCTTCCTTCAAAATTGTGATTATATTCCTCCTTGTCTGACAAAGTTACATGACAAATGTAGATGTTCTATCAAGGAATGCAAGGAATACAAGCATGTCTCATCACAATTCATGCATGTACTGGAAGAAAGTAGTATCCTGAACAACTGGTAAAAGCTACCTTCATGTAACAATGTGGAGTCAAGAACTTAACAGTAGCCCTTATTTTCAAGATTGTAATAATAGTTCCAGAAGACAAAATACTGTTTCTTTCTTTTCTTGAGGACAAAATGTACATGTCTCTGGCTATATGGAATCACTCTTGTTCTTAACAAGGCTTACTGTCTGCTAAGAGGAAAACCAATACATTTATTCTCAGGAAGAGAATATGTACTGAAAAGATTGCAGACAAAGATTCTGGGTATTTCTGTAGAATATTTACTGAAAACTTCAAGAAAATTTTTGCATTTCTATTTATATATGATAAGTAACATTAGCAACTTTAATATACTGGCATTAATGTGTGCTTTCTACTAATTCAAAATTATTCAATTATTGCTATGCAATTGCTTTTCCCTCCCAACAAATCCATGCTCTCAAAATATATAACAAAATGCTAAAATGTAAAAATAAATAAAAATTTACATATCTTACATGCAATGGATAATGAATAGCATGGTCAAACCCAAACAGCATGCATGAAGGCATTGGCATGGCAGAGGAGGCATTTATGGAGTTCACATTCCATTCCAACACACAAAGGAACAAAGAAGAAAATAAATGGTAAAAAAAAAGGAAAAAAAAAAAAAAGAAAAAAAGCCATCACATCAAATCAAGGTCAATAGTTATTTCAAATGATAACCTGGGCTAGTCATAGTCAAGGAGTCCCAAAGACAAAATAGTGAACTTTAATTTTGTGAAAATTCAAGTATGCATTAACTGATTTTTTTTCTGTTTAAGACATATTATATCACTTCACATTTCTTATATGATACTTATTAACCACTTTTAATAGGCATAAATACATAAATATTTAAATACATTCTGAGATGTGCCTGAGGCACAACAACAACCACTAAAAATTAGGACAGAAAATTCCTACACTGGTACTTTAAATGGAAGGCTATTTGCCCCTTATATCTCTTTCCCCCAAGAATGTTTTTACCAGTATTTGGACTCCATAATTTTTATATCCAAGGTTGCCATTTACTGGGGTTTATTCCAAGCCTTGAAGAAACAAACTTACAGTTCAGTTTGCTCTTCTCTTTATCCAGTCATGTGTGCAACATGACTGGAATAAGTACACCACCACCACATTCACCAGCACAACTTAACAAAACAGAACAGAAGTAAATCACTAGCAATGATGCATGCAAATAAAAGGATTGCAATCCATTTTCAGCAGGACAAATAAAGGCAAGGATCTACAATTTCAATGAAAACTCATGAAGGAAACATAGAAAGAAAGAACTGGTGCAGCAACATAAAAAAATTAAATAAAATATTTTTATATTGATGTGTTTTGGGAGGTCAGTATTCTCACAAATTCTATGGATGACCTTCTTTTCTGTGTTGCAGGAGCCTAGTTCCTACCTGTACTAATGAAGACAAAGACTACTAGGCTTTTAAAAAATGTTATGTTAAGAAGCCTGCAAAATCCTGGGCCACAGAGGTAAACTCAGGAGCATCTGGAGCAGATGGGAGCCCAGAGCTTTTCCAGTGCTGCACCTCCCTGGGCAGCAAGAACTCTCAGGCAAACCTAGCAGCACCCAGACCACTCCATGGCAAGCTGAGGAGCCAGGTGTGCTAAGAAAATTGAGGTTTTCTATGATTCAGTGCTGCTTTCTCCAGAGCACAAACAAAAAACCCAGTGCCAAGGTGACCTTCTACACGTCATAAACACAGCCACCTGACACTTGGTGAAATCTCTGACTTGGATCAGGATTTTACACCATGCTTTACTGGTGTTTCTATCCAAGTTTTGTGTTATAGATTCCCATATGCGTAAGGAATCAAACTTGATATACTATGTTTAAGTTTGCTATTTTTCTAGTTACATTGTTAATCTATTCCTTTAATGACTTTTAAGTTTTCATTAATGCTTTCTGCTCAGGAATTGCATTACATAAACCTGACTAGCTAACCTGTTCAGATTAATGACAGTTAATTCTGTGCAGTTGGGTCTGCTAAACTGAGAAAATCCCATGTAAATAGCAGATAGAACAACTTCCCTACTCTGACTTCCCCAGGAAAAAAAACAAAACAACCGAACAACTCATATTCTTTAATTTTATGCAGCATACACTCTACAATAAAACTTGGCAATAAAGTCACAAGAATTAGCTTCTGATCTTCTCTTGACTTTGGGTTTATGCAAGCAAAGCCAGCACAAGTAGTCTCTTTTTATTTCCAGTCTTCAAATTAATTTCAATATCTGAAGAGTTTTTAGAGCACGACTCTAATTAGCACCTATTAGTAAAGCACCATAATTTAATGGAATGTCCTCCACTACAGCCAATAGCATGTTTCTATTATTTACACAGGAAAGGATGCAAGCTTCATGCTTTGGAAGCTGTTTGTCACAATAAACAGTTCTCTAGTTAGATATTTCCTAGTAAGCAGGGCAGAAGCCTTCTAATTATATTTCCAGTTCTATGCAATCTAATTCACTAATCACCTCCATCCAAAGTTACCTGTACATTGGGTCTCCTTTTTCTCAATTTAACTTTTGGTATGCCCACACCAATTTGCTGAAGTAACAAAAAAGCATTAATTTATATTTTTGCACTATTAGCAAACAGCCTACTTATAGAATGGAAGTGTTTTCTCAACATCTGCACTGTCCAGTGTATGTTTACCACTGCAAGCAGAGACTGCCCCTTCTCCTGACCATGAGTTCTGAGCTCTCTATCACAATTACACACAGGATTTGGATAGGGGAACCAAAAATCAGACATATGTTGATGTGAATAAAATTAAGAGATAGCTCTCCCTTCCATATACCCTGATGGAATAAAATATGGAATGAGAATAGCTCACTTTTTGTTTACTTTTATATTTAATTCTAAAACCCAGCTACTCTTAAGTTTCTTAAATAACCCTAAGCAGTAAGAAAGAATATTGTACCTTGCTGAAGGCACATGGAGTTTTAGGACTATCATTAAATGGATTTTGATCAGAACCATAGTAAAAACAAAGAAGATTCTAATCTTTAGAATAGATTGAGAAATAAAATTATTTATTGTTTTCAAAATCTAATTTAGATTAAGCTTGTTAACACATGCTTAATAGACTCACTTCAGTGACCATGTTTACTTGGTGGTACATCCACCTGCTCTCTCCCATAACAGTGGGAAAAATGCATCCACATATGCAGACACAAACAAAGAAAAATTGCAATAAAACACAAATTTAAGCACTTTAAAAAAATGTAACAAATTACATAAACATAAAAATGGATTAAGCTTTTAAAAATATATTAAGCTGCTTATTAGAATAAAAAAAAAAAATCTTGTTATACTTTGGCATAGCATTCATGTAGTTCAACAAAAAAAATGACAGGAAAGTTTTAAATTATTTTAATATGCTTTTGAACTTGTTGTTTGTTACCTTTTCTCAGTTGTGCAAACAACTTTACAAACATCAAGGCAATTTCTCAAATTATTAATTGTGTTGGACCAGTTGTGATTTGAGGAAATAGATTTTCAGAAGGAAAGCCAAAGACATTCAAAAGAAGGAAGCACTGGAAGTCTAAGAAACCCTCACCTCTTCAAAGGTAAAGATGTAGTTATGTTTTAGTTTACATCTATTGAAAAATTGCTGACAAAGAAGGATAAGACGTTGTTTGTTAATAAGTTAACAGCTTCTGAGAGGTTCAACTAAAATTAATGTGACATGTTAAAGAAAGTCCATGAATTCTAAATATATCTGTCTTTGTTGTGTACCTTAGTTTTAAACTGTAGTTCTTGTATCAGTCGGAATAGCATGCACCACCCCACACAAACTGGGAGTGAAAAAGTCTAGTCTGTGTAACTGTTATAAACAACAATAACAATAATAATGCAAATTCTTAGTATTACACTTAGACATCATCCTGCAACATAAAAATTATTACTCAGAAAACATCCTGTTTTAAACATGCACTAATTCAAAGTTTTGAGCATTAAGGGAAAGCATCTCTGGACTTCACTATCCTTTTAAGAAGAAAACTACAGAGAAACCATGACAATTCGTATCCCAATAATCCATCTCAGTTTGCTTAGATTTAGTTGGGATGAGCTGAGTTTTAACAAAGGTTTTTTTAACAAAGGTTTTTATTCTTCAGTGTTTTGAGGCAACACTGCAGGACAACAGCATATCTGAGATGAACAGAGACCATATCCATCAGCTTCTCAAAAGATTAGGTCTAAAATAAGAATACTGCATTGCTTCTTTTTACATTACTCCTGTGAATGAAAAGACAGTTTTATTTGCATACCAGGGAAAGATAAACAGGCCAATTGCCATCACCTAATTACTATTAACCTCTAATTAAGAAAAGATTGGATCAGTAATGATGCAGATATTTGCCTCTGAAGAATTCACCAAGAAAAATCATCAAATCAAAACTTCCATTGTTTAAGACATGAAAATCAAATGCAGATATCCAGAAACTGAAGTTACTCAGAAGCTCAGTTTTGAAGACTATATAAAAACCTTTTCCAGTTTTCCTTTTTATTTTTAAGTGTCTTTCAAAATAAATCAAAAGGGAAATCTCATTAATAATGCCAAGTTATTCTTTCTCTGTCAAATTCTATTCTCTTCTTCAGAAGAACTTTTTTCTTTCTTGTGTTACACACTTGGCAAAAGATTTCAAATGTGTTAATTACTTCTCCAATAAATTAATTCAAATATTCACAAAGCTAACTTCTCACAGCTTAAGATTTAAATTAATCACTAAAATATGTAGATGAATTCTTAATTTCATCTTCTGTCTTTGACAATTAAAAAAGTAATTCTAACTTTGTCTTTTATACAATATAACTTTAAGAATTCAAGAGATAACAGTTGACTGAAAATATTGAATTATTATATGAGAATTTTCAAGAAGTCCACTAAACAGAAGATTGTTTCATATGGAGAAACCTTTCATTAAAACCAAGGTCAAAGTCTGATTTCAGAAAAAAAAAATAAAAATAAATCCATTCATGTTGAAATTTTCCATCAAAGTTAGGGAGGCAAGTTATTTAAGAAGATACAGACAATGTAAGATTCTCCACAAGGTAAGGACCACAGTTAATGGATAAAGAGCCAAACTGAAATATTTAGTTTCTATTCTCCTTAAATTTGATGAAAATTGTGTCCTAATCATATTTACAAAAAAGTTTCATATTTAAACATGAAAGACCTTTCTCAAGTTAAACTACTAAAAATTTAGCATTCTGAGATCGGGTTTCAGCTCTGATAAACAGAAAATAAGCAAATAAATAAATACAAAAAAATCAAGTAAAATATATTGTGTTTTCCTCTGATTTCTTTGGTTTTGCAAGTATGAAAATTTCATCTTTTAAATGAGAAAGCAACATAAAAAAAGTGTAAAAAAACTCCTCAGTTTAAGATTCTTCACAACGATTATACTGTTTTCACAATATTACAGCTACTATTAGTTGTTTTTATATTACTGTGTATAATGAAACACCTCACATATATAAATATGCATTCCAAATATAATTTTTTAAAATTTTATTAATAACTAATACAAGCCAAAGCTGGTGGATTTGGATGAAGCCATATATGCAACACAGATTTTCCTAGCACCCACAAAACTGAGAATTTTCACTATTGCTTTCTTGTGCCTTCAGCAATCCTAAATTCAAAAATCCTACATTCAACCCTGAATCCATAATTTCTGATTTTTTTCTGACAATATCCCCTTATAATGGAGAAGTAAATTAGAAGGTGTTTCATACCTTGGGTTGGAGATTTGGATGCAGTAGCACATACCCATTAGGATCAATCGCAAAGTAGTATCCATTGGGACAAAGCTGAAAGGAAAAATGAAGTTTAGCACTATATGGTATTAAGTACTGTGGAAATAGTAATTAATGGCTTTCAAGGAATGCTAACATTGTGGCAAACATGCTTCAGGAAACATGAAGTATAAGATTACTAACACAGACAAGGTACTTTTTTGATATTTACTCTTTTAGGATCATAAACTTTGAGAATGATTTAGGCTGATGAGACCTCTGAAGGTGAGCTGGTACAACCTTTCACTGAAAGCAAAGCTAACTTAGAAATAAAGTCCAACTGCGAACTTGGACTAGGTTTCAGTAGGCCTTTGAATTCTACAGAATTCACAGAATCAGTAGATTGGAAGAGACCTTCAAGGTCATCGAGTCCAGCCCATGCCCTAACACCTCAACTAGACCATGGTACCGAGTGCCACATCCATGCTTTTTTTACACACATCTAGGGATGGTGACTGTTCCACCACCTCCCCAGGCAGAACATTCCAGTACTTTATCACTCTTTCCATGAAGAAAAAAATTTAATATCCAACCTATATTTCCTTTGGCACAGTTTAAGACTGTGTCCTCTCTTTCTGTCAGCTGCTGCCTGGACAAAGAGACCAACCCCCACCTGACCACAGCCACCTTTCAGAGAGTTGTAGAGAGTGATAAAGTCACCCCTGAGTCTCCTTTTCTCCAGGCTAAACAATCCCAGCTCCCTCAGCTGTTCCTCACAGGGTTTGTGTTCCCAGCCCCTCACCAGCCTCGTTGCCTCTTCTGGACGTGTTCAAGCGTCTCAAGGTCCTTCCCAAACTGAGGGACCAGAACTGGACACAGCACTGGACACACTTCAAATGACAACTCCACAACCTCTCTGGGCAGCCTGCTCTCTTTCTTCCTTAGTTCCAGTTGGAGCTTCCATTGCCATACCTATGCTGACAGGCCGTTTTTGAGGCAATGTCAAGGTCCATTTTCTGCAGAATTCCCATTAGCTAACCTTTAGGTTCCTTCT